ATGGTAATCTCATTTCAGTCAGAAGCTTAAAACACATCGATGGAGTCATTTCCGACCCTATAAACCATATATATTCCTGCTCAGCATAAAAAACTGCGTCGATCTAGATTACTCCGGACGAAAAAATTTTTTTCAAATTTTGGCCAAAATATGAAAAAACGATAAGGGGTTACATCATTAAAATTTGCGAAAATTGGCAAAAATTGAAAATTTTAACATGTTAAACTAAGTATGCAGATTTGTTAAGCTTATAAAAACTAGCACAGATCAGCTTTCCAAATTGAATTTAATGCATTTTTGACATAGTTATGAATTTTTTAGAATTTGATTTGTCGGAAAATTTGGCATATTTAAGAATATCAATAAAAAACCATTCAAACTATATCGGTTTTTGGTTCGAATTTATCTAAAAATAATTCTGCATTACAAAATACTATAATTTAATAAAATAATGAACAATAGAATAATACGGAAAGAACACCAAATTTCTAATCAACACAAGAGTATTCTTATTTGGACTTCGGAATATCTGTTCCCATTTTTTTATACCCAAAATATGGTAATCTCATTTCAGTCAGAAGCTTAAAACACATCGATGGAGTCATTTCCGACCCTATAAACCATATATATTCCTGCTCAGCATAAAAAACTGCGTCGATCTAGATTACTCCGGACGAAAAAAATTTTTTTCAAATTTTGGCCAAAATATGAAAAAACGATAAGGGGTTACATCATTAAAATTTGCGAAAATTGGCAAAAAATTGAAAATTTTAACATGTTAAACTAAGTATGCAGATTTGTTAAGCTTATAAAAACTAGCACAGATCAGCTTTCCAAATTGAATTTAATGCATTTTTGACATAGTTATGAATTTTTTAGAATTTGATTTGTCGGAAAATTTGGCATATTTAAGAATATCAATAAAAAACCATTCAAACTATATCGGTTTTTGGTTCGAATTTATCTAGAAATTAATTTTGCATTACAAAATACTATAATTTAATAAAATAATGAACAATAGAATAATACGGAAAGAACACCAAATTTCTAATCAACACAAGAGTATTCTTATTTGGACTTCGGAATATCTGTTCCCATTTTTTTATATCCAAAATATGGTAATCTCATTTCAGTCAGAAGCTTAAAACACATCGATGGAGTCATTTCCGACCCTATAAACCATATATATTCCTGCTCAGCATAAAAAACTGCGTCGATCTAGATTACTCCGGACAAAAAAATTTTTTTCAAATTTTGGCCAAAATATGAAAAAACGATAAGGGGTTACATCATTAAAATTTGCGAAAATTGGCAAAAAATTGAAAATTTTAACATGTTAAACTAAGTATGCAGATTTGTTAAGCTTATAAAAACTAGCATAGATCAGCTTTCCAAATTGAATTTAATGCATTTTTGACATAGTTATGAATTTTTTAGAATTTGATTTGTCGGAAAATTTGGCATATTTAAGAATATCAATAAAAAACCATTCAAATTATATCGGTTTTTGGTTAGAATTTATCTAGAAAATAATTCTGCATTACAAAATACTATAATTTAATAAAATAATGAACAATAGAATAATACGGAAAGGACACCAAATTTATAATCAACACAAGAGTATTCTTATTTGGACTTCGGAATATCTGTTCCCATTTTTTTTATACCCAAAACATGGTAATCTCATTTCAGTCAGAAGCTTAAACACATCGATGGAGTCATTTCCGACCCTATAAACCATATATATTCTTGCTCAGCATAAAAAACTGCGTCGATCTAGATTACTCCGGACGAAAAATTTTTTTTCAAATTTTGGCCAAAATATGAAAAAACGATAAGGGGTTACATCATTAAAATTTGCGAAAATTGACATAAAATTGAAAATTTTAACATGTTAAACTAAGTATGCAGATTTGTTAAGCTTATAAAAACTAGCACAGATCAGCTTTCCAAATTGAATTTAATGCATTTTTGACATAGTAATGAATTTTTTAGAATTTGATTTGTCGGAAAATTTGGCATATTTAAGAATATAAAAAAAAAACCATTCAAATTATATCGGTTTTTGGTTAGAATTTATCTAGAAAATAATTCTGCATTACAAAATACTATAATTTAATAAAATAATGAACAATAGAATAATACGGAAAGGACACCAAATTTATAACCAACACAAGAGTATTCTTATTTGGACTTCGGAATATCTGTTCCCATTTTTTTATACCCAAAATATGGTAATCTCATTTCAGTCAGAAGCTTAAAACACATCGATGGAGTCATTTCCGACCCTATAAACCATATATATTCCTGCTCAGCATAAAAAACTGCGTCGATCTAGATTACTCCGGACGAAAAAAATTTTTTTTTCAAATTTTGGCCAAAATATTATAATTTGCGAAAATTGGCAAAAAGTTGACAATTTTAACGTATAAAAAATAATAATCACTATTCAGCCAATTGCCATTTCCATTAAGTCCAATTTAATTAAAAAAAATACAAGTCGCTTTTTACAGACACATTCTCTTTCAAAAGCAAAAATCAGGTCGTTCATTAACTTATTTAGTTGTTTAAGAATATATGACCAAATAAAATGTTAATTGCCAATTTAATATCTAAAAATAAATGTACGCTAAAAAGAGCTTACATTTGATACTTTTTTTGGAAGCTTATAATTTTCTTGTAAGATAGTTCCCTTTAAAATAATTTATATTTCTCCTCTTGAATAACACCTAATAATGTAACTTAATTTGACATTTGTAGTCCATTTCCATTTTAAACTGATTTTTGCTTACTTTTTCGTTACCCATTTCAGACATGTGCCGGCCATAAACCGAAAAGACACGCTTCCTAATTGAAAACAAAAGACAAATAAATGGACGCGTAGCAGGAGCAAGCGAGAGAGAGTGTGTGTGAGAGAGAGAGAGAGAAATCGAGTGTGGGACAGAGACGATCGTGATTTGGATTTTCAGCGTGATATCAAAACGTATTGAAGCGGCCAAGAAAAACCAAATTCACGCCAAAATGTCCAACGCCACAACAAAAATGGTTTACAGTTATAGAATTTTATGGCTTTCCGGCGTTTTACTAGGTGAGTACCTGTCCTCAATAGAGACCTCACTTCACTTCACTTCACTTCGATATCGAGAAACGACACGACCACAGACGAGACGAGACAGCGACACAAATTAAATGCTAAGTGCCTCGATTAAGCCATTGGCGTTGAGTTGGTTAACCGCTGGCCATCGGCTCTCCTTTGCCAATCCACTAGCTGGCCTATTTGGCCCACTGTCTTTGGGCCATATGCGTGAGCCAAATAACTTAAAAACAAATTGGCCATGGTCGATTATATGGGAAGAGGAGGAGGAAGCAGCCAAAATGGGCAACACACCTGGACAATAGTACAATCAATAATAAGAATTGCACCTGCAAAATAAATTGGGGGGAAAATATGTATGTAAAAGACTCGTAATTGATAAGCTAATGAGCTGACAATTTAAGAGGCAAATAGCCAAAACATGCAGTAAGAATGTAGTAATAATTTCAAATATCTATTATATTTTATATATATATAATATTCTATGTATTTTTAGGTCCACTTTTGTTGACCGTCATTGCAGTCCAGGGCCAAGAGCCAGCCAGTCCAGTATTTCAAAATCACAAGACGAAGGAATGGACGAATTTAGATAATATTACATTCTCATTTGATTGCAAGCGGCGATCGGTGGGCTTCTACGCCGATATGGAATACAATTGCCAGGTGAGAGAGTTAATTAAAAATATACTAGAGTTTGGAAAGAGCCAAGCAAAGCTTAAGCCAAGCTTTAATCGAGTTTTTGCCACAGTGTCTAAAAGTATACTATTTCTTACCCAGATATTTCATATGTGCGATGAAGAAGGCAATCGGATTCCACATCTTTGCGCCAACGAGACGAGCTTTAATCAAGAGTACAGAATCTGTGATTGGGATTACAACTTCAACTGCACAGAGTCACCAGTAAGTTGCCACATATTCCCCCTTTTATTGATTTTATTAATACTCTAATTGTAATCCCCAGAAATGGTTCTATCTGAACGAACTGACCTACGCCACAGATCCGCCAGATGAAGACGACGAGGATTACTAAGCGATTTGCAATCTAATTAAATATTTATTGTCTCTCCCAAAAGCTGAAAAACACAAAACTAATTAAATTAAAAAGCCGCTGAATAATTGTATATGAAAAACCCAGAAAAACACAAAAATTAAGAGCAATCTGTAAAATTCTGTAAAATTCCATTAATGCAAGTGAGATATAAACTAATTTAAGCGCCCATTGTTGACGATTTTGTTGAGTTTTTCGTTTTGTACTTTAGTCTAATTGAGTCGATGAATGAGTCGTGTAGGAGGAGCAGGAGGAGGAGTGTATATACTGTATATAGAGATGGTCCCGGTTCCAGTTCCATTTCCCTTACCATTTCGCCCCATTCTATCAAAGTTCTATCATTTGAAAATGCCCCGGAACAACCTCGGATGGATCCGCCACATTATTGTATAATTTACAAATAATCTTCGCATATATTTGTAAGCAATCTTAAAATGGAAATAAAAACAAATACCAATTGCTACCCTAATATTTTGTCTAATTAATTGCCTAAGTGCCCGAAAAACAAAATGTTTTTAACCATTTTTTTTAGATAGTTATTAATATGTTGTTGTTGCACACGTCACGGGAATCCACCGGGGATTTTCTGTAGGTAAACAACCTGCTCAGAAATACCTCCAAAAAATATGCACAGCTAGGTAGTTGGCACCAAATGTTACCTATGGGATGAGTCAAGTTCAATGACGAAATAAACACAAAGTGTTGAACCAAAAAAGGGTGAACTTAATTGGCGAAAATTGGCATCGCCCAGCGTTCCGTAAAATTGTCAAGCTGCCTGCCTGCCAGTCAGAGTCACATTTTTATAAATTGCCATAGCCCGCGGTGAGAATTTTCAGTTTGGAAACGTATAGCCACCAATCGTCAGTCAAAATGTCACACAAAAACAGCTACAATCTGTCTCTGCTCCTGCTTGCAACTCTGCTGGCGGTAAGTTCTTCAATAAATATATATATTTATTATTTACTAAATAATAAATCCTTTTTACAGCTTGCAACTGCCCAATACTATCCACAGTACAACCCATATTACACACCGAGTCCCACGTTCTCCAGTTTAAATAATTACTACTACCAGACCACGCCATATCCTTACTACTACAGCACGTATACGACCCCGAGTCCCTACAGCAATACCCAAATCAGGATCTGGCCTTATGTCATTGGACAGTATCTATATCCCACGTATTATAACACCAACTATTATAATCCTTATGCATCGCTGAGTAACTCCAACTGGCAGAGCTACTATGCCAATGTCTATCAATCGAATTGGGGCAAAAAGTGAACTTAAATATTGTGTTTAGTATTGCTAAGTGTTTTTTTCGTTTGATAAGATGTTTAACCAATAAAAATTCAATCATTTTTTCATACAAAACAGGAATTTGGGAAGTAAATCTTTTGTTATTTAATGGTTTTTAGGGCTGGTAAGTCTTAATTAAACAGGTTTAATATTTTTACATAACATTTACCAAGTTTATAATTATTCAGCAATTGACTTAACCTTACTTAACTTATTAATAAGTTTGCGTATACGATTACAGTAATATGTAACATAGTTGAGATGTTAAAGCATTACCATTTTATTAGTTACAGCTTTATAACTTTGACTAAAAGCAAAGTCATTACTCAATTAAATTAATGACATTAATTAAAGAGTTACCCAAAAAGGATTTCCTTTACACCAAAAACAACTATTTTAACAAGTCTTACTATAAAAATCATTGGTCGAATGTTACACAAAACTGAATAAATCTGAAGGCAGTGGATCAATTGATTTTACAATCATGAAAAATGAGACAACGGATAAAAGCCATTTTAAATTTTCCCTTCCATAAAAATGCCTCGTAAATTACCAACTTAATTGGTTCAACTAAAAACAGCTAAAAGTGTGAAATATTTGTTCACAATTATTTTAAATCAATGCCACAACCTTGTTTGTCTTCATTTCCAGAGTTCAGCTCGTAAAAGGGAAATCAGAAATGTATTAGGATCGTTTAAGATAGCTAATTGCTGTGAAAGAATAAAGAATATCTAGAGGAAACTCAAGCACGCATAAAAATGCAAATGTTATGACTTCAAAAACCAAGTTCCAGAAATTATTGATAAGCCCAAGTTTAAGCCATAAGAGGTGTGCGATCCGTTAGGATTAGAGCAGCTCTTTCTGAATGGATTCCAGTTGATATGCGAGACCTTATGCTTGGTTCCGTTTGACACCGAAAAACCTGAACCCCGGGAGCTCAACCTCCGGCCGAACCTGAACCTGAACCTGAACCCCACTGTCTGTTTGCGTACTTAACGGTTTTCACACACAATCGCTAGGTTCCAGCACAGCACACATTATGTAATGGATTTCGGGGCAAACCTTTGGATTACACTGCAACGACTGTCCGGAGCAATGAACCTGCATTGTGTTTATGTAACCCAAGTCGATGTGTTTTTGTGTGGCAATTTTTGATGTAATGCTAATGCTTATACAGTGTAAGATCATAAAATGTGACCACCTGTTTCTCTGTCTCACTATTCTTGGGAGAATGTTCTGCTTAACTGTAACTTCCTCACGGAACTCTGACACTTATGGCTCACAAATCAAAACCATATCGATTCGATATGAAAGGGTTCTCGAACTAGAACTTTAAACCCAATTCCCGAGCGGACATTATCATGCAAATCGCTAGATCTTCTTTCAGTGAAGGTGAATGGTGCGTAAATCGTGGAGGAAAGAGAGAGCATGGTGTGCGTACATATCCAAGGAGAAGAAATGGGTCACGACAATCCAATCACGAAAAAGCGGCTCCGGAGAGTTGTTGTGTGTAAAAGGTAGCCGGCAAAAATGTTTGCCATCACGAAACGAGAAAGCCAAAAGACTCATTTATCTCTCTACGATTTTTCGGCTAACTGAAAATTGTTTAAATTATTTTTGTACAGCCAATTAGTTAATTACAAAATAACGCAATGCACTCGACTAGACGATGGAGTAAGTGCAGCGAACAATAGTTTTTGGTACATGGTAGCTGCCAATGATCTCAATTTCTCTCATTAGCAGCTGATGCATTTTTTTGATTACATTTTATGTGTGTTTAATTACTAAATCCTGGGGTGTGAAATGTGAGCTTTGATTGAGTAATATATAAGTATTAATTAACAAACTAAACCATTTTATTTCGAACCTTTCCAATAGGATTGAAAATAAAAACTAATTCAAAGAGAAAGAGTAAATATGATATTTTGTTTTGAAAAATTTCAATCTTTAAAAAATCAATAAATAAGTAGGAAAGTAACTAATTTCGGGATTCCCTTGCAGTGAAAATAGATCATAACTTAGCCAAAAATGCATTAATTTTCAATCGGACGACTTTTCTATGTTAGTTTTTATTAGGTTAATAAATCTACATACTCAATTTAAAATTGAAAATTTGATAAATATTTGACAATTTTAAGGATTTAACCCCATATACAAAATTTAAAACAATTTATATCATAGCTGCCTTTGGTGACTCACTCATTTTCCAGAGAAACTATTTCACAAATTCTGTTAAAGCCTAATTAAAGTGTCTTTATGAGAAAATAACGAAAGCCTAATTAAACTGTCACATAATTTAACTTAATTTGATATGAAAAATATTATAAATTAATAGGAATTACCAGACCCTAACGAATCAATGGGAGAGTTTATATATATTTTTTTTAATTATTTGCCTCAATGGCCCACTGAAGCTGTGACGTCAATTTGTGCGTCTTGTCACGTTCACACACCGTTTTCACGCTCTGGGCCATTGCACGACAATTCGTAATAAAGGCAACCGATACAGGAAGGCACTGAGAAAGAGAGAGATAAGGTTGAGATAAAACCCCAGGGAGACGCTTTTGACTTTGCACTTTTTTCCAGGTGAGGCGACGGCTGCTGCCGTTTTAGGGGAAATTGTGAAGAAAGTGTTGAAAACGAAATTGTAACTGGGAGCGCGTGTGTCTCCGCTGTTGTTTTTTTTTTTTTTTTTAGCTGCCTCTGCCGCCCCGTGAGAGTAGACCAGCCAGCAAACCGGCAGCAGAGCAAACACACCGAAGAAGCGCCGTCGCCGACTTGGCCAAGACTGGTCTTGGTCTTGGTCTTGGACTTGGCCGAGACGAGGCGAGACAGTGAGGCGATCTTACCTGGTGGCCGAGGCCATTTCGGAGTGGCAGTCAACGGGCACATCTCAAGCGTTGCAGTCGCTTTCCATGCGGACTCCACTTTAAAGCCAAAAATCGTTTTAGTCTCGTCTTGTCTCGTGTATATATTATTTTTGGCCAACATCTGCGTGTTCGCCAATAGATTGGCGTGAAAGTGGTTCAGATTAAACCGAAATAACTCAGGAAACGGCATCAGTGACTACAATTGTCAAACACAGTAATCGAGGAGTCGCTGAGCCTTCATTATGGTGAGTTTGATCGTTAAGTAGTATCTTATTGGATGCCGGTGAAGTTCAGGCTAAGAAAACACCCAGAAAAATAATTGGCAAAATAATTTACAGAGAAGTTAACTTCAAGTTTTTTAAATGGTATAAAAATAATAATAAATATTTCCAATTAAAGCTGCATTTAAAAGTGATTCAATAGTTAATATTTTGAACAAGAAAAATGTACATTTAATTAAGGGATACAATATGGGGTACAATATGCTATAATTTTAAGTAGTTAGTACTTTCCACACAAATTAATTATTTTACCTCTATAATATAAGAAGGAAGGAAAATGGATTCTCCCTTGTTAATTTTTTAAAAAGAAACAGGTGAATTTAAAAAAATATAATATAATTCAGCTTATTGTCTAGATAGTTTTTAGTTCTTTTTTCTGTGCATTATTCATTGACATACTAGGCACGCTTCGGCCTGTCCCCAATCGCTTTTCCCTCAATCTGCTCTGAAAAGGAGCCATTGCCACACAAAAGATCTTCGAAAATGTTGGCCAAAAAGCTAGTGTGACAAATGCCAACAATTCTTGGCACAAAGAGTCACTTGTCGTTCGTTTGTTTGGTGTTTAGTTTCAAGCCGCCGAACTTTCTTTTGAGGCGTGTTTCATTCGGGCTAGTTTTTCTTTCAATTGTTGGCTTAAATCTGCGGGCTGTTATTAACCCGGCTGGCAGTAGCTACACTTGTACACATTCCATGTCATGAACTGCGACATTATATTGACATTAGATAATGGGTTTAACCACGTGCCACTTAATTGCATCATAGTTGTGTACGTTTTACTAACAATATTTACCAGTTTATGCTTTTTTATGGCGTCCTACAAGCCATAAACAAAGAAAGTCGTGCCTCAGATGCATAATTTATGCGAGATAAGACTTGGCAACATTTGGTGATAAAAACATAAAACAACGTCTGTGCTATACGCCCACATAGAAAGAAAGTCTGTTGATTTTATAGCTACTCTAATTAATATTTACCAAAAACAATAAATAGTTCAGCGGTTTATTAGCTAGCAGCAATAATAATAATAATGTGTAATAATGCTAATGGCACTTAGGTTTGATTTTGTTAATTTAAGTGTTTATTACCAATGTTAAATAATCCGCGATGTCCAGACAGAAACGTTTCCAAAATTGTCGCATCAAATTAGTCAACAAATTTGCTAAATGAATAATTATTTAATATTATTTTTGGCATGGTTTTGGAGAGGAAAAAGTTCCTGGAATTTACCAATTCATTATGGGGATCCAAACAGTTATTTCTTTAATTTGAGGCAGATTCGGGCGAAATCTGAGTCCCACCGCAAGTGCAAATATTTTCGGTTAATATTTACATAAAAGCGAGATAAAGTCGAATAAAATTTCACCCATAATGTTCGAGAAGTGGGCTTGAAAGTGAGTTTGTGGCTGAGTCAGATGTGATAACCCATAAAATTGATGATGAAACCGCCAGAAGATGTTAATTAAAAGGGCTTGGGATGAGCTCTGGAAGATAGTGAAACTAAGCTGAAAAACCGAGCTCGGTCTGTCAATCTTTGGGGCTGGAAAATTATGTAAATCAATTAATACATATAAATCGGTATTTAACAATGCATTTCTTCGTCTGTTGCATCACCGATGGAAAGACTTTCTTCTTTGTTTTTCCAACAAAATGGAATTCAAATCAATTTTCTTCGGCCGTTTTAATTTGAATCAAGGCCATGCCAAAATAGATTTCCTTTTACAGTTGCAACCCAAAACGAATTGGGAACAAAAGCTTGTGGCTTTTGGCCTAGTATACAAAAAATAAAACAGCGAATCATTCATCACAAACAAAGAGGCCTCACAAATGGGGCCTCCAAATCACATTTCATCAAAATTATGTCAAGAATTCTTAGCATTTTGTCGTGTGTCTTCTGTGTTATTTTCTGCCTTGCGAATTAATTAAAACATCTCCAGCGATTTGATGAATATTCTGAAAAAAGAAACGAAGCCAACCGTTAGCTCCACATAATTTGTTTACCATTTGTTTACCCTTTGTTGGGTTTATTTTCTGCGTGGATTTGTTCCATTCCCAGGGGCTATGGGGAAGAAGCCAAACTCCCTAATTGGACAATAAACAATTATATATATTTATGGTTTTTGGGGAGTTCTTTTTCAGCAGGTGAATTGGAAATGGAAAGCTCTCAGCCAGGCCATGACTTTCGGTTTTTCTGAGCATTCTTAGTGGAGATATTTTAACCGCAGATAAGGGCTTGGTGGGTCATATTTGAATTTCACTTTATGGAAGTGAAGGTAGCTAAAGTCCACGTTGTAAGCAGTAATTTTTATGAATGTTGCCTATTTGCGAGTGTAATAAATTTAAGGGGAATGCTAAATACAAGATGAGTCTATTAAATTTAATGGGAATGCTAAATACAATACAAGTTTTATGTTTGGTGCGTAGGTTTTTACCTTTTATTCAAAGTAAAATTAATTTCGAGGAATAAAATATATGAGTGTGACTCAGTTGTAAAAGTATATTTCATATTAAATACCAGAAGTGTTTTAGTTTAAAACTATTAGTACATTTACAATGTACAATAATCAGTGTATATTGATAAATTTATCTTCAATCTTTGGAATTTAATTTCCTTATACAGGAAGAATCAAACATTATATACTGTGGATAATTTTGTCATCAGTTGTAACCTGTTAAAAATTTCACTTTGTCTCCATCCGGCTGCCGCTTTAAATATAAATCACTGTTTTATACAATTCCCTAGCTTTTTGCAACATTTTTGAATTTACATATAAATCGCTATCTGCGGCGGACTCTAAAAAAAAAACAAACTATGTTTTTGGATTATGCAAGTTTGAATTCAGTTAAGGTAAAAAAAAAAAATGGGAAATGCTTTCGCACTCGGCCGTCTTGGCCATAAAATGTTTTATGTCCCCAACCGATGCCGTTGAAGTGGCTCAAAGTGGATTCTAAAATGCGTTTCATGGCGAGCCGGCAACAGGTTCGTTTCCTAAGTCTTTTGTTTGCGCAATTTCCGCACCTCGAACTGGCGGAGATGATGAAACGTCTGAACAATGAGAGACGACAGGGCACTTACTTGAACCTCGAAGTAAACACACTCTGATATAATTTCTCTGCCTGGTTCCACTTTCAGTTTCTCACAAAGAGTTCAAGTGCGCGGCACTCGCTGCTGCTGCTTCTGCTGGCCCTCTGTTGCCTGTCCAGCGCCTTTGGTGCCAAGATAACCAAGAAGGTGGTGAAGGAGCCATCGGAAACTGGGGAAAAATCAGAGACGGAGTCGGATGCTGATGCTACTGCATCTCCACCTGAGGAGGCAAACGATGAAGATGACGAGGAGGATGATGACGACGACGACGACGATGACGAGGAGGAGGAGGCTGCATCTGCAGACAAAGAAGCAGAAGCAGCCACATCAACTACGTCGTCGGGTAACCACAAGAACCCCAATGCAGTCCAGGCCTCCACGGATCCCACAGATCTCAGTGTCTGGGGCATGGTGCGTACTCTCTGGGGCTGGCTGCGCAGCGATCTGAGTGAAAGCCTATTTGGCGGCGATGACGACAGCGACGACGGAAAGCCCGCGTCCGGGAGCTCAGCTGTGGGTGAGTCCCCTATCTCTATAAATAAAAAACAAAAGAGAATATAAAAAAACAAATATTTAACAAAGGTAAAAAATAAAACAAAAACCTAAAACTTGGACACCGCAAAAAAATAAATTGAAAAAGCATTGAACTATTTAAATTAGGAAATTATCTTTTACTTTCTTAAACTAGTTTAAATAATATTAATATTACCCCAGAAGACCAATGCAAAACAATCAAATTACAAGATTCCACGACTCTCCATTCTGATTACAAAATATCACCACAAAACATGACACAACATAATATTATTTAATACAAAGCTCTCCCTCAATTTAACACCTTTTCCGATTTTGATTGTCACCGAATTAAGATCTCTTCTTTTCGTTGAGTGTGTATGCACTGCAATTAGTGCCTCTGTTTGAAATCTGGCTCACTGCGTGTCTCATTTAAGCTGATTGCATCTGCAGGCCCTCAATGTGATTAGCGGCTTTTCTAATCAAAGCCGATTTCCCAGGGCGCCCTACCTCGCTTCTTGGCTCACTTTCGTTTTCAATGAAACCTGAAGCCGAAGCCGCTAAATAAACAGCAAGAAAAAAAGCAGCTAAGAGGTGTTAACACAAAAGTAGGCGATGGGTAAAAAGTTGTGATATATTGTATATGTCCGTCGACGGATTGTAATTTCACTTTCCGCATCTTTTTCTGGAGCCACACTCAAATTATATATTAAATAAGACAACAAAACGCGGCTCACTCATCTCCCTCTAAACGATGAGAAAATATTTTTGCTTGATTTTTTTTGTGGCTCTGTTTTTTTTCGTTATTTGCGAATTGTTTTTATTGGACTTTCGCATAGCTGAGCGTTCAGCTCTGTTTATTGATGAAATTATAGTAGTTAAGGCAGATAAACCCAGTGGAATTTCATTTGGGAAGTGACTTCTCTGGGATCTCAAGAATTAATGGGCGGTTTTTGTTTTTATTGATTTTAGCTGAATGGTTTCTTTGGGAAAGCTTTGCTAGTTAATTATTACCACAGATGACCTAAATAACTCTTAAACTCTTAAATATTTATGAAAAGTGTTTGGCTTAATTGGTAGTTAGTAGATTTTATTTCTTAGAGATTTTTATGACAAAGAATATCCAATTTGTTAAATACTTTATCTAACGTTAGGTTTGCATATTTGTGCTTTATTATATATTTTGACTGAAAGTCATTTACCATTTGCACAACAATTAAATATGTTAATTATTCTTGTTTGTATCAATTAAATATTATTTATAACTATGTACTCAATGAACTTTGCTCTGAAGGTTTATTTTATTTTATTTATTTATGAAACTTTTATATTAAAATAAGAAGGGAAATTTAACAACAAAACAAAATTTAAAAAACTCATAACTAGGCCAAAAATGCATTAATTTAATTCGGAAAGCTTTCCTATACTAGTTTTTATTATAATAACAAATGTGCATACTCAGTTTAAAATTTAAAAGAATTCGATTTTTTCCCAATTTTTTTAAAATTTAATGATGTAACCCCTTATAAAATTTTCAAAAATTAGGAAAAATTTTAAAATTTAAATTTTGACCAGACATAGCTTCTTCGATTCGCCTGTTGATGTTGATCAATAATATATATGATTTATAGGGTCGAAATGACTCCTTCACTGCGTTACAAGCTTCTGACTAAAATTATGATACCCTGCAAGACTATATTAATATTTATTTTAATAATATTTTTTTCTTTCAGAGGGTCGTACCTTTGGCAAGATTCGTCGCCTTCAAATGGCTCTGATACCCATATCTTCAAGTTTGGAGTGCTCTCTGCCATGGTTGCCTTCTTAGTGGCCATTGGCATGAAGTCGCTGTTCCTGCTCAAGGTCCTCGTGGTGATGAATGCCATCGCCATTCTGGGCAAGTTCATCACTCTGAAGTCTAGTCTCTTCGGACAGTACGAGCACACGGCGCCGTCGTTTAACTATCCCGGCTGGAACCCGCATGCCAAGGAGTCGTGGAGCAACACGGAATTGGCAGCGGACCTGGGGCCATCCGCCCAGCAAGGAGATCCACCTGCACATCCATGGTAATGCCCAGACCCAGGCTCAGTTGGCCGGTCAGGGCTACCAGTATGAGTCGCAGTCCGGCGGTTGGGCCAGTCGCTCGGATCCCTATGGAGCCTACGCTCCCACGGACCAGTTCTCCGCTGATGGCCAGCAGTCGGAGGCGGGAGTGGTCCGGGAGGGAGTGCCTAATACAACAGATCCCATGTCCTTGCTGCCAACGAAATACCGAGCGAGGACCTTCATCCGATGATGAGGATTCAGTTAGGAGAGCTGTTCCAAATGGGTTCCGCATGGAAGTCAACGACCACCGCTAGCACACACACACCTTTAGTCAGCGACTTTTCGAGGACGCAGCTTTACGTACACCTAAAACTATAGAGTTACGAGCTTAGTTTTAAATTAAATTATTTCCCCCAAAGTAGCCTTAAATGATTGATAATTTGTAATAAATAGTATATAATATAAATCCACTTTGATGTATGTGTGCCACCGTTTGTTTGAGGTAGCCGAAACAATTACGGCTAAAGATCCAGAAGATCGTGATTGATGGCTGCTCGAGGCCGGGGAGAAGAAAGTTTTGTGCACAGAGAGAAAATGTGTTTTCATAGGGATTTTGTAAATGTGATGCATGAGATTTTCAAGAGGTATCATCTTTAAATGACTAAAATTCTAGTAAATGCAGTATGCTATATACCACATTTTACTGATGAGTATTTTTGAATGAAGAAGAAAACCAATATAATTTTTCTATATTATTATTTTAAATCTTTGTCTATCTAGTTAGCACATATTTCTTCCCTGTGTATGTTTGGTTGGCTATTATTGCGGCTGGGCTTTTCGGGGGTCTGTGATTAATTGGGCATTTGACGTGTCTGCCCGGAGATTTCTTTGGCCACATCTCGGGGCGTGTGCTTGCGACTTTGCCTTTCTGTCAGTCTTCCATCTAATCATCGGATTTATCGCGAACATTGAAATGGAAGTCCAAGTCATGACTTGACATTGCAGATTTCATCGCCGTTGTTGGTAATTTTTTCGGTAGCTCAGCGCCTCAGAGGAGAAACATATACGATTTTGTTCATCTATAAAAAAAAGAGTGGATAAGCCGATTCGTTTATTAGCCACTACATGGGCTGGGCTTCATCATATTTCTACCTCGTTGAAGTATCAAATATTTGAACAGAGTGAAAGATATTAGCCCACTAATATGGCCACCAATGGTCAGGGTTGAGTAATTGCTAGCTTTTCTCCTTTGCCGTTTAGTTGATTAAGAGATTTGTATCGGCTATGTGGAGTGTTGATTGATGGATTATGGAACCTGAGACTTCAGATGGTGTTACCTTATGCTGTAAACAAGTTAAAATATTAGCTGATTGACATAATGAACACTAGATTGTTATGGATGGATTCATTTCGAAAAGTAGAAGACCTCCTCCTTTTCAGACCTTGACGAGTATAGACTCCTGTAAGTCTAGCATCCCTTCCCAGCACTTTAGTCTGAGTGAGTCGTTCCATAATTTGGCCTTAATTTATGCCTCTCTCAATACGGCCTGGCTGATTATACACTAAATCGAAAATTTAATTGGCCCACGCAGCATATGCGCACGCCCACAAAGAGAGGTCCTAAGCGTGGTAGCTCCTTGAAGCGTACATCCTGTCCTAATGCAAAGTGACAACTAGTCTATGGGGGAAATGAATTGCAGACGTAGGCCCAATATCCGTTGAGTATATAAGCTGGCTTCGTGGGACTAAACAGCATCAGTTACCGGCAGTTCAAGCAACAGTTCAATCAGGATCTCCAGGAAGTCCATAAACACTACAACCATGTGCAGAATACTCTCCATCATCTCCATGCTCGCCTTGTTGTTCCTGGCTCAAGCATCGGCTCAGTACTCCTACAACGCGCATACCCTGTGTAGTGACAGACTCAATGATATGTTGATGATGGTGTGCGAGGAATTCAATGGAATTACCCAACAAAAACGAGGCTTAAGTAAGAGGCTCAAAATACCACTTTCCATCTCCTGACTTTATCCAAAAATTTTTTAACTGCTCATCATAGTTGCCGGCGGCCTGGATCCCCTCGATCCCGTCCAATATGTGGAAGCCATGGAGTCGCATCCGATTTTCAGGGGACGCTTCCATGGCGGAGATGGTGCCCTTAACTCTCTGACACCCATCCGGCGGCTGACGAGGCAAGGAATCGTAGACAGATGCTGCAAGAGGAGCTGCTCTATGGAAGTCCTAATGGAGTACTGCTCCGTTCCTCGTATCTAAATTGCATGACTCTGGATCTACTCCCCTTTGACCTTCGACTGTCATTACCTGTGCATCCCTAGACTTGGTTGTCCAGCAACCATTTTCAGGGATAAATACTACCCTTCAAAAGATATTGTTATTTGTAAGTTATTGTTTATGAAGTATGTAAATATTATAAATATAACCTGCTTTTGGCACTCGAAAAATCTATATATATTGTTATTTAATACCGGGATGTAACAACGTTTTAAAGAGCAGTTTCTGCAGTTACATTATTGTACCATTCCGCTTAGAACGCCTTTCACAAATGGACTCCTTTATGTCTGGCATCCCTTCGTTGGGTTTAATATGAATGAGTCACTCTAAAGTTGGTATTAATTAATGCCTCGCTTAGCGTAACTATGCTGATTATACACTAAATTCTGTAAAATTTAATTGGTCGCCAAAGCATATGCACCTGCCCACAAGGCTACACCTACAATACGACACACTCACAATTTGCATAAGTTGTTGGCTCTGACGTCGAGCGAGAGAGGTCTTAAGGAAAGGTAACTGCTTGATGCACATATCCTCTTCTAATGCGAAGTGACAACCAGTCTAGGGGGGTAGAATGTATCTCAGACCTAGACCCAGTTTCCGGGGAATATAAAAGCAGCTACGTGGAGCCAAACTGCATCAGTTACCAGCAGCTCAGGCAACAGCTCGAACAGGATCTCAAGGAATCTCTTAAACAAAACACTAGAACCATGTGCAGGATACTCTCTCTGATCACAATGCTCGCCGTCTTGTGCTTGACACGTGCCTTGGACCAGTATTCCTATGAACAGTACACATTGTGCAGTGATAAACTCAACGATATGCTAATGATGGTGTGCCAGCAGTTCAATGGAATTACATCACAAAAGCGAGGCACAAGTAAGATCCTTTGAAGGCTAATACCTCTGATCAGCCTTTACCATAAACTTCTTGAATCTTGCAGTTGCCAGCGATCAGGATTCCCTTGATCCCATCCAGTACGTGGAGGTCACGGAATCGCATCCACTCTTCAGGGGACGCTTCCATGGCGGAGAAGGGGTCCTCAACTCTCTGGGACCCATTCGGCGGCTGACACGGCAGGGAATCGTGGACAGGTGCTGCAAAAGGCCCTGCGATTTTTCCGTAGTTCGCGAATATTGCTCCGTTCCTCGCGTTTAAATGGAATGACTTAAGACCTCGTGAACTTTGAGCTCTGACTGTCACAAGGATATATAATACCGTTCTGAAGATATTGTTAGCCATTAGTTGTTATCGCTTAATAATAACCTGCTTTCGGTATTATCAAAAACGTACTTTAAAAGTCTTATTTAACTTTGCTATTATTGAAACGATTTGGTTTTTAATGGAGATATAGACATATGCTTTAAAATAAGCTCTTTAAAACAATATGACTTGGTTTTGAACCATTTTTTGCTGCCATTATAATATCCTTGCAAAGGAGTAATATTTTAATTAGGAGCTTGTAACGCAGTGAAGGAGTCATTTCCGACCCTATAAATCATATATTTCTTGATCAAAATCAACAGGCGAATCGAACTAGCTATGTCCGGTCAAAATAAATTTATTTTTAAGTTTTGCTAATTTTTAAAAATTTTACATCGTTAAAATTTTCAAAAATTGGCAAAAAATTAAATTTTCTTAAGAAGTAAATTGAGTATACAGATGATTAACCTAATAAAATAAACATAGGAACGCTTTCCGAATTAAAATTATTGCATTTTTGGCTTAGTTATGAGTTTTTTAACATTTGATTTGTCGAAAAAATTGTTATATAAAATATTTCTAAATATTTTAACCCAAATTCCACCAAAACCAAACTATAAAGGTATAGTATATAGCCTTTCCGACTTTCCGAAGTTAGTTTCTTTTCCTGTTTCCTATTTTATTTATAGATAAACAGAACAACCTAGGCTCTACGATAGATTCTTTATATTATATTTTAAGAGATTTTAAATATATATTAATAGTTTCTTGGATTTATAAATTCATTAACCTACCAACCTTGCCAGATTGCTCTGCTTTTCCTTTGATTTGTTCATATCTTTGCTAAACATTAAGCCCCAAAAGTTGGTCGTAAAGTAGAGGAAGCTCCAAAAAGTAGGCAATACTTTTCAACGGTGTCAGAGTCAAGTTCGTTGCTTGAGTCTTTCGATTTGGTGGCAGGCAATAACTGATACCACGATCAACAATTATAATGCCGAATGCTGATATTAGCAAGGACCTGTTAATTAGCCCCATGGCAAGTGAAGACACAAGCTCTTGTCCGGCAATTAAGCAACTTTAACGACAAATACAACAAATTAAAGCCGAACAAGATCGGCTTGGTGCTTAATACATATTTATCTGAGGCAATTAGAGCCGCTCAGACAGGCGGGCGAGCATGTAATGAGGCTCAGAGACACTCGGAGAAATGATTTAAGATTAAAAACAATTAAAAACTTAGTAAAAAAAGCTATGAAGAGTATGCTAAATGAAGTTTAATTGGAATTTCTGGATTGTATGATTTCCAAGACTTAATTTAATTATTTGTCGGAGTGTAGCTAGCCGCTTGACCAAAGCTGGCTCACCTGGCATTATGGAATCTTGCTTGCTGACTGATTTATAGGAGGACACTGGTCGTGGATCTGGTCCTGGACTTGGTTGTGGGCCCGATCTGGCTATGCCAGCCATTAGCCATTAGACATTAACCATTAGCCAGCCGTCATAAGTGTGGGCAGGTGACGTTTCGCCTTTGAGTGACGACGAGTGAGCCAAGTTGAGACCACAGCCAGGTGATGTCTTCTTTGTCGGCGGCCGTCGACGGCGGCATTCGAGAGCGCCTCAATTAATTAGTGGCCGTGCCAAAAACAAAATGGCGACGCATATAGCCAATAGTTGATAAGGCCAAACTCAAAGCTAAAAGCGAAATATAATAGATGGACGAGTTGGAGGTAGAAATAAATGAAAATGCACGATGCCCGGTGAATTTCTCTGGTCGTCCGTTGCTTTCTAACAACGCACAGCAAGCCGGCTCGCCGGCGATTATTGAAATACTCCAAAGGTTTTTTCGCTGACCATTTCATTTGGCCAATTCCAGTAGCGGCGACAAATCATGAGCATCGACAGATGCACCAGCATCTTTGTCTCCGCTATATACGAGTCCAAGTCCAACTAAAATGTGGATAATTGCGTCTAACTGACGGGACAAGAGGCACTGGGCTCGCGAATCGCTACCAGCTGGGGTACAGCTCACGGAAAGAAATAATCTTTTAAGTATTAATAATTAAAAAGAATGATAAACGTAAAAGAATATATGTTTTCTATGGAGAAACTATATTAGAATTACGGGAAATAATAAGTTACAGAAGTTCATTTCATTACAAGTTCATATTTTATGTCTAAGTGATTTAGTTACATTTAAATCCTCGTAATACTCAAGTACTGCATTTCTAAAAATCTAAAAGTTAGTTAAAGAAAGAATTAGGAAACTATAAAATAAAGCCCTCTTAGAGCCAACTAATTATCTGCCAGTGTACTCCCCTGCAGTTGGAGTTGGGGACTTTGTGCTGTCAGCGAATCTGGCTGCTCTCACTCTCTTTCTAACATGATAATTGGACATGGCCTGGGAACGGGTATCACCAGTGGGATGGCATAGATGTCAGCTAGCTTACCTTACTTACTTGCCGGCTGCCGGCTACCTTGGTGACATCTTTGGCGGCCCTATGTCTCCTTAATTGCATGTCGCCTGTCCCCAATCGCCTGTCTCGCCGTCGTGCTGAAAGTGAAATTGATATATGATATAAAATATTTATATATATACAATAAATAAGCGAATGTTCATCACGAATTCTTCGCTAATTCGCCTCTCACATTGGATAATTTCGTAATGTCCACAGCTAATCAAAATTCGGGCAATGCCTCGAGTGCGTTGACCAAATTGGGTTTGGTTTCAGTCACACCTTCATTTCATTCCAAACTCCGATCTGACAGTATCAATATGAGTATGAGTACCGAGTATATGTTGTGCCAACTTTCTTTTCAGCAAAACAGACAAGTACGTGAACATATACCAATATTTACTATGTGGCCCTCTGATAGCACTTGATATAAAACTTTTAGTTAACGAAATTATACAAAGTTTCATTTATGAAGATAAATAATTTAAATTACAATTTAAAATGAATTTTATGAATACATTTTCATGGTAAACATTTTGAGACTTATATACTTTTACTTTGGTATTTTTTTTTTGTTTTGAAAATAGTTTAAAGAGCATTCATTACCAAAGGTACGCCTTCAAATCTCTCAAGTTGCTCTTTAAAATCATGTATACATTTTCCCTGTAAATTAGTGTATGGAATCATGTTAGACATTTATTTATATAGTGTTTTTTTCTCTTTGAGTAGGGCCCAGCCCTTAGCCATAAATAGCAGTCACTCGCGAAATGTCAAAGTCAATCTACGGCTGCACCATTAGCAAACAACTAGAAAACTTTCATTTTCATCACTGGGACAAGTGGGTCTTCAGCCAGAATTTATCAATGATGCAACTGTATTTCCATCTGCCCAAAATGTTAATTTGATTAACAAATATTTCATGCAATACTTTGAGAGAGGTGCTAATAAGGTTGTGAAAGATGAAAGGGAAAGGTAAGAGTGAACTGGTTATATATTCAAGAGGTTTTTCGTATGCAAAGTCATGTGGGTGGAAATCAACTCTTCACTACTGTTGGAAGTAAATTTTTCACTTTAACATCCACCCTATTGACCCAATGCACAGGATTTGCATCTGCCTATACTGGCATTTCGCTACAGGATTAGCATCTCACGAACGACTTTCCACTGATTTTCAGGAGTTCATGTGGCGAATGTGAACAGAAGAGTTCAACTTGTGGGCTGTGCTTCATGGCATTCATTTGGGAATTGATGCAGATTATTCAGTTATCTTATATATGAAAAACTAAGCAAGTGAATTGGTATAAAATGTATTATACCCTTGCAGGGTAGTCAGATGCTTGTCCTTTTTTGATTCTGTAAACTATACATTTTCTTGATAAACATTATTAGAAGAGTCAGTACGTATAAATGACCAGTAAGTAATTATGATCAGTAAGTATCAATGAACATTAAGTAACTAAGATCAATAATTAACTATGAGTAAGTAACTACGGACTGTAAATCTAAACAGTGAGTATCTATGACCAGTAAGTAGCTATGCTCAGTAAGTATCAATGACTAGTAAGTATGTATAATCAGTTAATAACTTTGAACACTAATAAACAATGACTTGCAACTTTTGAAACACAACACATTTCTGATACATGGCCGGCAGCAGTAGCTTCATTCCGGGGATGTTAGAACAAGTTGGGAATCATATGTTCATGTGCAAGATTTGTTTTGGAACAAATTTAAGAGCTAGCTATTTGAACGAAACTATGAAGTTATTCTTCTATATAATTTTATTGTATATAAGTCGGAGCATGGCGAATCGGTGGACTATATATAACCATATATAGCTGACATAGGAACAATCGGACGATCTATAGAACTATAATCTGTAATTAACTATGAGCAGTAAGTAACTTTGAACAGTGATTATCTATGACCAGTAAGTAATTATGATGGGTAAGTATCTATCACCAGTAAGTAAGTTTGATCAGTTAATAACTTTGAACACTAATAAACAATGACTTGCAACTTTTGTAACACAACACATTTCTGATACATGGCCGGCAGCAGTCGCTTCATTCCGGGGATGTTAAACAAGTTGAGAATCATATGTTCATGTGCGAAATTTGTTTTGGAACAAATTTAAGAGCAAGCTATTTGAACGAAACTATGGATTTATTCTTCTATATAATTTTATTTGTATATAAATTTGTATGGCAATCGGTGGGCTATATATAACCATATATAGCTGACATAGGAACAATCGGACGATATATAGAACTATAATCTGTAATTAACTATGAGCAGTAAGTAACTTTGAACAGTGATTATCTATGACCAGTAAGTAACTATGATGGGTAAGTATCAATGACCAGTAAGTATGTATAATCAGTTACTTACTTTGAACACTACTAAACAATGACTTGCAACTTTTGAAACACAACACATTTCTGATACATGGCCGGCAGCAGTAGCTTCATTCCGGGGATGTTAGAACGAGTTGGGAATCATATGTTCATGTGCGAAATTGGTTTTGCAACAATTTTAAGAGCAAGCTATTTGAATGAAACTATGGAGTTATTCTTCTGTATAATTTTGAGGGTATATAAATCGGAGAATGCGAATCGGTGGACTATATATATGTATACATATATATAGCTGCCATAGGAACGATCCGAAAATTTGAAGAAAACAAATCATAACTTTTCCAGTTTTAAGCAGATTTCCATCAAACTTGATATATAGCCATTGTACAATTTTATGAAAATCGGACTACTATATGAAATAGACTTTTACTGTTCTTGATGAGTGATAAACTTTGTATAATCGGAGATCTGAGAAATACAATTAATTAAATACATTTCGTTTATTGATAAAATGCAAGCTAATCATACGGTAATCTTCTTAGTGAAGATTAGCTTCCCATTTAATAGGCTTTAAGTAGGCTAAGCGGAGGATTTAAATCATAATAAAAATAAGTAATAAAGAAAATTTCCAAAACAAAGGCTGAATTAAATATGTTGTCTTTGTGTGATGGTCATCTTTTGTCTGACACAAAATACCTGTAAATCCGCAATGGCCAAGAGGCCATGCCATCCCTCCCTCGAAGGTTAAAGTCAAAGTTCAATGGTTTACATATAAACCGAATGCTTGGGGGAATTCTTGTGTGACACTCGAAATGCGCATAGCGGACAGCTTAATTGATCCGTTTGTTCAGTGCATGCCACCGCACACATTTGCTAAAATCCGAGCTCAGGCCCAGAGCCAGACCTGGGCCCAGCTAAAACCAAAGTCAACAGTAGTTCGGCTTGGCTCTGCTCTGCGCCGCTGGCCGCTCTTTTGGCCAACTTTCCAAAGAGCCAACTTTCACAACGCACTCTCTTAAGTCTCCGTCGAGCGATTGGTATAAAGCTTCTTACGTATGCGCGTCATGGCTTAATCTTACCTTGAACTTGGTCGTGAGCAGATCGTGGAGCAGCTGTGTGTGGATCCCCCATAGAGAGCCAGTGGTGGTGCATCGGGCCTCGTTCGATTGATTCGGGTTCTTTTGTCGAATTCAAATTCAAATTTACATTCAAATTCAAAACTCCAACTGAACAGAAAGAAAATAAAATGGAACAAAGCGCCGTTGTTCTTGTGCGTGCCGATAAGTGTACATAAATCAGTGTTTTACTTGAGCGCTAGACTCTAGACTTCTGATTTCGTCTAACGGTGCCAGTGTCTCAAAAATTATATATATTGGTATATATACGCATATATATATCTATAAGAAAGTCAAGGAAATCCAAGCATCATGGACTTGGACTGGTGGCAGCCTTCCATCATTGTGGGTCTGATCTGTCTGCTCCTGCCATCGCAGATAACTCCGGCAAATGCCTGGAGTCTGCCAGCCCGCGATTCAGCCGTCTCTGCACCTGTTGGCCGGCGATTAAATGGTAAGAGTTTTGGCCACAAAACAGTGTTGACCACTACTTTGTTTTTTGTTTTCGGTCAGATATATGGCATTTTTCGGGGGATCGCAGATGGTATAAAAACTGAAAATTGGGTATCCTTAGGTCATTCTTTAAACTTAAATTGCTTTTGGCTTTAAATAACAATTGAGAAGAAGTAAATGTTTCCATATTTTTGACCATCTCTCTTGTTTTCTTTATTAACAAACTTCCAAGTGAAATGAATCTTTTTCTGCCTTTAAGTTCCGGCTCCTCTAAATCGTGGTCTCTGTATTTTTATTTAATTTATTTTTATTATTTTTTTCTGGGTATTGTAATAAGCTTGGAGTAGACAAAGAAAAGGGCCAAAGGAAATAACAGACGGTAGCAGCAGCAAAACATAAACAAAAGCTCTGAGTAAAATACTTTTATTGCAGTGAAATTTCAGTTCATTAAGCTAAATGTGAGAGTGGCAATTTCTGTGTTCGGCAATTATATAATCGGCCGCCAGGCGCCAAATGAAAGTCGCCACAACTGTCACTGTCACTGATTATGGCCACTGCCACTGGCATCGCAAAGAATCGGCCAAGATTTATGAGCCACTCGAGTGGCCACAGATCCGTCAGAGCTGTCACACCTGCCACGGCCTGTCAGGCGTTCATCTTTTCCATGGCAACAAAAATAATGAAAATAAATATATCAAGCTAACATCTAACGTTTTACGATAAGTATTTCCCAACCAAATAATGCTAGGTATTTTTGTAAAATTACAATGGCTTTGTTAGGAAAGTATTGGTTTTCTATACACTCTGGATTTATGGTTATATGATTTAATTATTCCATATAAAAGAGAATACAAACTATCTATTAATATTTATATAAATATTTATCTACCACTTTTCCTGCTTTAATTAAATTTGTTAAGTAAAAGAAATTACCATTTCTTACCTAAGCATTAAGAATCTTATTTAGCATTGATGTTTACCGATTTAATTAGTTCTTATTTACTTTGAGGTGTTCGCGTGCAGCATCCAAAATTAGCCAAGCTGATCGAGAATTAATAATTACATATGATAGAATGAAGCAATACATGGTAATTACTTTTACAAATTGTTAACACAGTGCATTTCTACTTTCTTTTACTCCTTCAAAGATTATATAGATAAAATAATTGCTTTAAATATTCATTTTAAAGCCTTAAACTTTTATATAAAATGTTCTTCATATTTCTTTCGGTGCATTGATTAAACGTCTTCCATCGGCAATGCAGCATAACGAAGTGAGCTTAATCTCAGTTTGGTTCTGTTACGTTATGGAGCGTACGACACTTTTTTCTTGGCCACTGCTGTGGTTTTATTTTTCCCTCTTATTTCTCCTTTTTTTTGGCTTAAACCTGGCAACCACATGGCGAACAATTAGCAAACGAAAAGACAAGGCAAGACCAGGCGAGAAGACAACAAGTGCAGAAGGCATTACCATTCCATTACCATTACCAGAAAGAAAGAAAGAAATACACCTCGTTATCGTTTAGGGCACTTGGCGTCTCGATCTGCTTCTGAGCATGTAATATGGGTCATAACCAACTAAACCAGAAACAGAGACCCCAACTAAGCCAAGAAGTTGCGTATGATACGATATACTATATACTTAATACTGTTTTCCGTGTGGAGACCCTCCCCAAGAATGTCGAGTCATTAAAGAACGGGTAGGGCAGCGAAACATTAATTAACGTTTTGTTTGCTGATTAAACGACTATCAAATACACTTAAAATACGGTGGAATATATGTTAATTTTATTAAGCAAGTCATGTGAGGGGTTAAGTGGAGCATTGATGGGGTTAAGCAGTGGTACAAGCCGGGGTTAATATCTGGCAACTTGATCTGTTCATTATGATTCTGTTTTTGCAAGATCACTTAGATGACAGAATTAATTTTTAGTTTAGTTTTGCTGGAAATTAATATTCTTTTAAAGGAAAGTAGAAGTTATTTGTATTATGTTAATAAAGTTAATCAAGAGAATACTTTAGTCAGTTAAATGCTATTTAATAAATGGGTAAATAATTGTTAGCTCTCTACTAAGCTCTAAAATCTATTCAACACCTTGTCTGTGTTAAATAGAAGATGAAATCTATACAAGTTGCAATCGATTTCCATCATTTGAACTTTGCTTAACCCCCATTAAGTCTTTAATTAATAGCGTTAACCAAACCCCTCAACAAATTGAATAAACTCTCTCCCTGAAGAGCAACACCTGTTTGGAGAAAAGTAACAATAACAGCGACAAGACAAACACCCAAGAATGGGTAAACACCCGTCCGGACAAGTTGATGTCTTGGTTGTGATACTGTCGGATTCACTTGGTGACTACACCAACTTAACTTAAGCCAAAAAGGGTGACTCGAAGGGGGTGTGGAGTACGAATGTAAATACACAGATATATGTATGTACTCCATTCCGGGAGTTGGTACAAATTGCGCCGACACCAAAAAAGCGAGAAGAAAAACTTGAAAAACGCTTGTAATTGGGTTATAACCGTCATATTTGTATGTGAGAGTGTTCGAGGCTAGTCACTACTTACTATTTAAATATTTGGAGCTCGCCCGGCCCGGCACTGCTCCAAACTGGACAAGTGGCTCTAAGTCTCTGAGGCAAACAATGCCATTGGCAAATCCCAGCTTCGATGTCCCACGTCCACGTTCCAAAACGGAGTCGCATTGGTGACATTTTTGGACGAAGCGCAAAAATGAAAAGTGCTGCTGCTGCTTCACTGGAATGAAATCTAATTTCATTTTTTAATTGCCGCTCCGGCATCTCGCCCAGTTTGGTCACCAGCCCGGCAGCAGCCATGAAAAGAGGCCCAAACTGGTGCCGCATGAAGCTGTAAGCGCGTCTCCTCCATCTGTCAACTTCGTGTTCGATTTCTGCGTAGGCATTGAAAATCTTGGATTACAATTTCAGTTGCAGTTTCCAGAGTGGCCACACAGCAAGAAATTCCAAATATTTTGATGATTGCTTGTCCAGCGGATGCTTGTCAGCGAGCAGAAAAAACTTAAACAATAACAAACCCGATCTCGACAAGTGATCAACCGTACACTTATAAATATTCCTATATATTTCACATTAAATTCAACTATCTATAGATTTTCCCCGAGTGAAACGAACTATATATTTGCGTAGCCAAAAGCCGTAAGAGCTCTAATCAATAAACAACATGTGCGGGGTTGTTGCTCAAGTTGTAGCTGCCGGCCAAGTCTTGTTCGAGTCTTGGGTTTGCATTTAACTCTCGGCTTTTGCGGTTGACTTCGACTCCGACTCCGACTTCGACTTTGGCGGTGTCTTCAATTCAAATTCTGCGCCAGATCGAAAACCAGTGAAAGTTTTATTAAATTTCAAGCTCAGCTCAGATGTGTCTCTCTTTCGTCTGCCTTTGGCATGCTAACGGTGAAGTTAAGAGCTAAAGAGTGCCACATTGTTCCCGCCGATTTCTATAATGGCCATAAAATTCTTTTGTAATGAACTAGGAAATATTTAAAATACCGAAACCACTAGATCATTGTATTTAATTCGGCGGCCCTAAAAGGTCTGTCTGGGACTTGAATGCCAAGCAAAGTGCTCTCGTTGAGATGGAATCAATTTAATGAGATTATTCAGGTGTTTTCTTAAGCCATTTTGTTGATTTTATTTGCCTCTTTCTTTACCATAAATGAAGTAATTATCAAAGAAATATATATATGTAGATGTTTCCCCTAGCTTATGAGAATGCATTTATGTAAAATATTTGTCATTTAAAAAATTATATTTAAATTGCCTTAAATGTCATCCAATTTTCCGAACCAAATAGCACCCTTTCAATCCAAGCATTTGATGATAGATTTCCCCTTTATTTATGGTATATCCCCTATAATCATTCAATTCACTTTCAAATACCGCACACGAACATGCAACATTTTACAACTTAATCTTGGCCCAGACAAAATAACTCAGAATTCGCTGTGATTATGCTAATATTTTACGAGCTACTGTTATGGCCAAGACCGAAGCCGCGGGCCAAAACAAATGAGCTTGCCGATGGTCGAAGCAGTTAGCCTACTTGACCAGCCGTCCAGCAGCAGTTTACAGTTGCCTTTAATACATATATATATATACTTAAATATATAAGTATATAGATTAAGCCCAGCAATATATTGCAGGCAAATGCGTCACCCGTCATCGAGCATTGCCAGCGAATAGCCATAACTATAGAGTAAGTAAGCCACGCATAAACTTCAATTGCAGTGAAAGTTCATTTGCCATTGGGAATCGGTCTTGGCACGGACTGGGATTCGGTCTTGGTCAATGGCATTAGCATTGGTATTGTCATTACCATACGACCGCCCTCCCGCCCTGCCAGCTAAAATCGAAAGAAAAGTGAAAAGGCCAAATGCCGAATGCAACTTTGGCCAGAATAGTGGCGGCTAATGCCTGGCTACTTGGCTAACAGCAGCAGAAGTGCCTAAGCAGCTGCAGATAATGTGCCACATTTGTCGGCCAAACAAGACACCCAACGGATATCGAAGATGCTCGCCACGGGAAGACACTGCAAGAAAATATATTCTGGAAAATGTTTAATGATTTTATAACTGCTAGACTTCAAAGGTCAATACTTTAATACTTTTTAATAATTTTAAGGTGTTTGAAAGAATGTTTCTTCAAGTCCTTAATGCAAGTAATAAATAATTAGAAATTGGTGAAAAAATAGAACAATTTCTTCAAGTGCATCACGACTTCTTTGGCTTTCTTTGAACTCACCTAGACTCTCGAGGCGATTTCCCTCCTTGGCACTCCTTGGCTCCCTTACTAAGGCATTCTTGGCACAGGTTTAGGCTTCACTTTTAGCCAGCTTTTTCTGTTGTTTTTGGTGGCGTGGGCCGAATTTAGCAGGATGTTATCTGTTGAATGTCACTAAAAAACGAAGAGTTTTGCAGGTAAACAATTTTTCACAGGCTGCCACCGCGGGTCGCATCCCCATGGATGGCTTTCACCCGGCATTGAATTTGGGAAAAATATTGACGATGCCTTGGGTCAAAGTACGCGCTGCTGCCATTGAAAGCGAAATGAGCCAAATAAATTGTGACAACGACGGGGAGACAGGCCAAGCAAACAAACGACATGAAAAACCTACACGAAGCGACATTACATTTTCACTTATCACGACTCTCCTCTCGGTGGCATTCATGAGACCAAAAAACAAAAAGACACAAATAATGAATCTAAATAGGAAAATAATAGCTCAATTTGTACACTCTGTGAAGAATAATGCAATATGGAAATTAGGGTATTATTGGGGAGGGAAAACTAATAAATTAGTAACTAACTAATACTGAAATATGGCTGATGGTGAACCCTAGGCAAAGGCAAGCCCTAATGAGTTCAAGTACTGAAAACAATCTCTTAATGGCGGAGAGGAAAACCAATAATTACAGTAGCCGCCGGGCATAATTTAACCTCTAAATATGTATTTTCATTATAATTTTCAACTCTTCCCTGAACTTTCTTCGCAACGGAATTATTCCCCATTAAATGGGCTCGCTTATTAAGATGCAAGTGACTTGGACGACAAGCGGCAATAATTTTAATTGCTGGCAATCAATCGCTGAGCATTTTCACTGCATCGCTGATTGATGGCCAATCGATAAATGCTAACTAAAGCGTGGCATGCGCCGTTAACAAGTGAAGTTGTAGTTGAAAGGGAAGTTACATACAAAATAAAAAAAAACGTGGATAAATTACATTTGCACGCACCACACATCTGTGTAGCAGCGCTGCCTTGTTAGCGCCTTTGACTGGCAGCAAAAACCACACAAGGTGTTGCTATGAGATTTCCCAGTGCGTCGTCACACATACTTTCACTCAAATATTTGCCGTGGCTGGACCATGACCATCTAAGCCACGTTAGCCAAATTAGACCACAAATACAAATCCCCAATGGTTGCAAGGAAAGTCAGTCAAAATCAGTTGTTGTCAGGTAGTCTCACTGGGTTAGCTAGCCAGTTTGCCCAATTCGTTGGCAGTTTTCCATCAAATATTTGGTTGGTCCCATATTTACGCAGATCTCTAATTTGTGTCCCTCTTTTTTTGCAGAAGTCTCGCCATATGTGGACCTGGCCTTGTGCCCCATCCGAGCGGAGCCCTGGACCTGTGCTCGGCAGCAGTCTGCCAGGATACTGGACGCCTGGGATGGAGAGCTTCAGGTTCAATGGCAGAAACTGAAGGGTGAGTATTGCTATTAAAAATATATTCCACAACATAGAAATTTATTTAGTAAACTATAGATTAATTTATAGTTTGCGAATAGCTTATTACATTTCTCCAATAAATATACTGTCACAAAAGTTCATTGAACTAATCACAACCTTGAATAGTTAGCAAGTGCCAGGCAAGTGCCTAATTATAGCACCTAGGTGAGAAAACTCTTCAATGACAAAGATTTTCCCACAAAAACAAAATAGCATTAAAGAAAAGCTAGCATTTTCACTAAGCCAACAAACCTAAAATTAAAGTTCAAAGCGCTATTCGTGGGTGAGAACTCTCAGAGAAACTGAAACAAAACCCGCAAGGCTGATCACATAATGCGATAATCGATGAGTTTAGGGGAGTTGACTGGGGCTTCATCTCCATGGAAAAGCAATTAAAATTGAAAACATTTTCTTCTCTCCTTACCTCAATTTCTTTTCTCTTATTTTTTTGGGACAGTCGAGGCCGATCGGCAGATGAATGCGACGATCGAACGGCGGGGTTACAGCGCCTCGGAGCTGCCATTGAAGGAGAAGCCATCGACAATACTGAAGAAAATCGAAATCGGCACAAATTACATGAAGAAATATCTGGCCGAGTCCATGGATGGGTGAGTGCAAGTGCTAAAAACAAGTTGAATCCACAAAATTTTCGCCAGCATATTTACTTCTCTGTTTTCTTCCTGTTTTTCTCGCCTCTCAACCGGCTTGCAACCAACAGTTTCCTTGGCCGTGAATACGAGTATTTGCAGACACCGAAAGCGGCTGAAGAAGATAGTGAAAACGACGACGGTGACGATGATGATGAAACGGATGCTGCGGAAGATACTGATACCAGTGATGCCGCCGAGGAGACTGCCGACGAGGAGGAGGATGCTGCCAAGGATGGGGAGGAGGAGGATGATGATGACGACGATGAGGACGAGAATGACGATGCCTCGGATAGCACAGCGGAGCAGGATGCTCAGGACACAGAGGCCGAGGCGGAGAACGATGACGAGGATGTGGATGAGGCGGCATCGGAGCCAGAGAAGGAAGCGGAAAAGGAAACGGTGCCCAGTATTTTCAGCGGTCAGCCAGCGACGCCAGCAGCGACGCAGGACGATGGCAAAAGTCCTGTTTTCAGCGAGGCCAACACTTCCTCAGGTTTTTATAATATTTTGTTCATTGGATAATAGAATAGAAACAAATTTGCAAACAAAAATTACTTAGCTAAGTGCTTTCTAGTGATTTAATTAATTCAAATTTTTTTTTTAGGTGTGGAATTCATCGAACTCCAAGATGGTGACGAAACTGCTGCTGGTGCCTTGAAAAAACCCGGCGGCGGTGGAGGAAAGCGAAAGAAGAACAAGAAGAAGAAGGGTGGCAAACGGAAGAAGAACAAGAAGGGTCAGGGACAGGACACGCAACCCGCCACTTTGGTGGTGGTCCAGCAAGCGCCCGAGCACCACGAGGTGGACCATGGCCATGGCAGCGATTCCGCGATATTTAGCCACGGGAGCAGCCATGATGACGATGACGACACCGTTGCTGTGAAGCCCATGAGGAAGCGGAAGCAGAAGCGCCGCATGAAGGGCAAGCGGAAGCGGAAGGGTCAGCATGGCGGATCCAATTCCGTGGTGGAGCACGAGCAGAGCGACTTGAGTCTGGGACTGGGCCTTCTCGACGAGCTGGTCGATGCGGACGACTATGCCGGCGGCAAGCGGAAGCACAGGAATCCACTTAATTATGGTAGAAGTAACGGAGGTGTGTGTTGTTTGCTGCGTGTGGTTTTACATGACTTTTGCGCACAATTTTTCCTAGCACCAATTTTGTGTGCCTTCTATATTTAATTTTTTTACTACTTTAATCTATTCATTTTATGTTGGATTTTTACGGGTCAAGAAAGGAGTGCATATAGGTATAGATCAGTCTCTAAATGTTTGAACAGAACTTTAAAGTTATTTTTAAACATTTACAGAAAGAGTTCTTTTAAGGTTTCGGTTTAAAATGGTCTCTAAATTAAAATTGTTGTTTCTTCTAAACATAAGAAACTAAATTACGTTAAATTAGGAGCAGCTATTAATGATACCTCTTTAGACCGCATTGATATCTCTGCAATTTAATCTAGTCTTAAAAATGTTTCTATAAACTAATTTTATTAGGTTTGTTTGTAATATAAAAAAAAATTAAGTTATAAAGTTAAGCATTAGTGGCGCCATCTGCCCAGCTAACACAGGAGCTTACTCAAAAGCTTTTATAGTCTGATAAGTAAATGAGGCTTTAGCATTTAACCAACTGAACTGCTTTTGTCTAGGCAAGCAGTTGCCTCTGCTGACAAGCGTAAATTCAAAATTAATTTTAAAGTTTTGAATATGTTTCACTACTTTATATTGACTTAAACATTTTTTTAATTTTTAAAATTGATTTACATTAAGTAAAGTTAAGTAACTTACATTTTATAAGTGGTTTTACCCTAAGTATGTTGGTTTAATATTGATATTGCTTGCTTTTGGAATGCTTTTTCATCGTTATCGTTATTGTTAACGCACCTAACGCGCACAGCAGTTCATACTAACAAACACCACCCTCCCAAGCGAACAAATTATTATATGTTTTTGCGTTACTCGTTCGATTTTAGACAAGTAAGTGTTAAGAAATCAAGAACCAAGCAAGACTAACCTTCTCTCCGATTATCTTCCTCATAAAAAATCAATAAACTATAGTAACTCGCGGCAAGAAGAAGAAGAAGAAGAAGGCCATCGCTAAATTCATGCTAATTGGCAGCTTCCTGAAGGCCAAAATTGAACTGCTGCTAAAGATTCTCGGAGCCCATCTGCAGGTCAAGTTCTTTGCCATCGCCTTAATTGGTCTGCTTATTAATATAGCCAGATTCTGGATCGACGTTAAGCGCGGCAGTCCCCCGTCCAAGGTAAGTCTGGAGTCCTAATTCGAGTTCGAGATGGGATCTGTTGTGAGTTCTTAACCCGGGACCGAGTTTTTAACGCGACACACACGAAGGTTAACAGACCAGCGATGTTTCTAAAGGATTTTCTGCACCCTTTTCATCTGTGAAAAGAAATGTCCTTAAGCTAGTCATAAGTCGAACACACACTTCAGGTTTTTTTGGCCAAGGTTTGTCTCTGCTCAAGCAGATCATATAAATATTTCCGAAAAGCTTTCCTTGTCTCTACCCCTGCTCTCTCTCTCTCACTATGCTCTACCACACAAGATGTACATATATAAAGTTTGTAAAAAGCGTTAACTTCCAAAGAAAAAAACACCCGAGGCGGTCTAACACCTCTAACTGTTCTGGATCTTCTCCAAGCTTCAAACTTCCAAACTTCAAGCCACCAGAGTTCCGTTCCACCAACCACCTAACGTATCCAAAATGTGCCGTATGCTAACAAATTCAGACCTTTTTGGTTTCAGATATGGTAAAATTTTTGGACAGCTCTCACAAACGTTTTCGGAACGTACAACTCTAATAAACAAACAAAGAATACAAAAAAACAAGCAATCCAAATGTGTTCACTAATAACAACCAAGTACACTTTAAGACCCAAAAATCAGAACAATTCTGACCATAGTGTTCGTTTCAAAGACTTTCCCTCACACTGTGTAAGTACGAGTTATAAAAGCCATAACTCTGAAATTTTCAATTGAAAGAGTCCGGCCAGACAGACAGATGATACATGACACAAAACACTGCACAAAGGTGATTTTTAGTGCAGGAATATATATTAAAATTATGGTAATTGAGATTATTTCGAGTTAATTAATTAATTAATAACAATGTCATTATTGACTTAAACCTGGAATAACCATAATTACGATAGACCTGCACCAAAGTCTCGCTTTGGTGACCTGTGTAATAATACTTCTATACACAAGATATACAAGATATATACAGCAAACAGAAAACCACTCACACTCCTGGGCCTCTTTGGTACTTCCTCTGGTGTTTCTCACTTCACGGCACACGTCTTGCATATTTTCTAACTAGGTTGTATACGTTGAACATGCCCACCATCAGCACCACTACGAGGATCACGGCGACGACTGGAGCGAGCAGGGTAGCTATTGGAAGCGATCCCTGCAGACGGATCCCTCCATTGAGGACACCGACTCCTCCACGGACAGCTACCAGCTGCGACAGGCACAGCCGCAGCAGCAGCTCGGCACCCAGGATCCCCACTATCTGGCCTATCGCAACCAGTACCAGTGGCAGTAGATCCTCAATCCAAATTATCCCTAAACCCTAACCCAACCTCTGACCTCCAATGGAGACAGACAGCCTCCCAGAATAACATATTACTTGTATTTATTTGAGTTATATCTTGTATCACGATGCTGATTATTAAATAATCCCCGAGGTCCTAGAGCAAAATTACATTTAGCACTACGCAAAGAGATGCCAGTAAACCAATTTTAGTTCGTAACCTAACCTAAACCCCAAAGCCTATAGAAGACAATGTGCTGCCTTAGTTGAAATTGTTGTTAGTGCAATGCCTTAATTATGTAAAACTAAATTTAAAAAATGTACCTTCTAATGAGAAATCGAAGAACTGTTTTTGGAATACAAACATATTCGGAGCGAAATGAAACAAATTAGATGTAAGTTATTTATGCAAATTATTTATTGTATTTCGTATGTTATATGCTGATGCTTATTAAAGAAAACAGATTTAATAATTGTAATTTGATTGGAGGTTAAGATTTAATTTAATCGTTTGCAGATGATAGGTAATGTATACAAAATGTACCAGGTTCAAGTCATTATAGTCATTAATGTATTTAGAAAGAAGTTTTCAGAAATAAAATTAATTATTTTTAGCTTAGCTATGATTATTTCATTTCAGCCCCCAGAAACTTCTCGCTTTCTTTAAGTTTTCATGTCCACTTCCTGCTTCCCAATTCTGGACGGCAGACTATCCCCATCCCAATTGGGTTCCGCCCAATCACAATGCGGTCAATTCTTGCTGGAATTCCGAAAGAGAAGTTTCACCTGCTCGCCCGTGCAGTTGATTCTAATTCCGTGGCCCAATTCTGGAGCTGAAGTGTGCTCCGTAATACCAAATAGGGGCGACGTGCGCCCAAAATAGACGCGTCTCCGGGACCCATTTATTTCTTCTTTTGTTTTTTTTTTTTTGGGTGTCGCATTGAGCAATTTGCGCATGCGCAGATCGTGGCCGGAATATTTTAAAAGTTTTTTGCAAACAAAAAAATCACTGACGACAATGTTTGTAATAACCAATTAAATTTGTGTTTGACAAACGTCTGACAAGCTGAGCGCCCAATTTATGGCTAATAAATTTGACTGCAGACTTGGAAGAAATGTTTTATTAAATGTTCGAAGAACTTCTGTTTTTATGTAGGAGAGAATTTATAATATATACAAATCTGATAATTACAAGAAATATATAAAAAATATATTTATATAAATTATTATATAACATTAAATGGGTCCCAACTATACCTTGCAGGGTATTCTCATTTCAGTCATAAGCTTAAAACACATCGAAGGAGTCATTTCCGACCCTATAGACCATATATATTCTTGATCAGCATAAAAAACTGCGTCGATCTAGATTACTCCAAACGAAAAAAAAAATTTTAAATTTGGCCAAAATTTGAAAAAACGATAAGGGGTTACATCATTAAAATTTGCGAAAATTGGCAAAAATTGAACATTTTAACATGTTAAACTAAGTATGCAGATTTGTTAAGCTTATAAAACTAGAACACAGAACAGCTTTCCGATTTGAATTTAAAGCGTTCTTGGCTTAGTTATGCATTTTTTAAATTTTGATTTGTCTCAAAAATGTTATTATAGAAATATTTATAAATACAGAATATTATAAGCTTAGCTATAATTGATTTCCGATTCGATCTTATAATTTAATCGCTAAACTTGCTTTTTAACTACTTATCTTTATAGAAATTGAAACTAGTGTATTTTAATACACACATGGCGTATACTTAATTTATGGGGTTCACGTTAAGTATACGCCTCGTATGCTAGATTTATATTTATTTTTATATACCTTTTTTATACCCTTGCAGGGTATTATAATTTCAGTCAAAAGCTTAAAACGAATCGAAGAAGTCATTTCCGACCCTATATTCTTGATCAGCATCAACAGGCGAATCTTTCTAGGCATAAATGAAAAAAAAATCATTTTGGCAAATTTTTCAAAAATTTATAAGGGGAAAATTGGAAAGAATTTAATTTCCTAAACAATTTATTTTGTGTGCAGATGTGTTAACCTAATAATAACTAACATGGGAAAGCTTTCCGAATTAAAATTAATGCATTTTTTGCTTAGTTATGAGTTTTTTAATCTATGATTTGTCGAACAAATTATCATATTAAAATTTACATTCAAAGAATAAGAATACCTTAAGCATAGTTGCGATCGATTTGATTATGTAATTCAATCGAGAACTTCACGGGCTTCGGCTCCCTTTTTACCAATTTATCCTAATTCTTTTTTTCAAATAGTAACTTAGCAATGATCTAAAACCTAATATCGGGGAAACAAAAAGAAAGCGCTGCAAACTTACATTTCTACCTCAAATTAGCCTCTCATCAGCTTCACACGCATTCTGACACGTTTAAGTTTGCCAGCGCCACAATCACATTTTGATATTGACCTTGTTTAAATTAATTGAAAGAAAACTTCTCTTCGGGCCATTAAAATGCAACGTGGGGCAGCGCGAAGAAAAGCGAATTGACATGCCGTGTGCAGGAGTGGGCGGAGGTTCGTGCAAAGAAATGCTTATCATTAGCAAAATTAAAATCAATGAAATTGGCCATAAAAATTCAATTGACTTGGCCCAATGCGTGGGAGCCCTTAGGTCCAAGTGCCAGCCCCGCCACGGATCATATCGGATTGGATTGGATCGGATTGGAACTGGAACCGAAGGTGTCTGCAAACGTGTGCCACATAATTGATTGTTGGGAGAAACAGAAATAGTTTAGTTTTCAGCACTTTCTAAACTACGCCTGTGCACTGAAGAAAAATTAGAGCAATTTTAAGGAATCAAATTATAGTATTTAGTTTGTGAATTAGATTTATAACAAGCCATGTTAAGTTAAAAGTAATTTCCCAAAATGCTGTAAATATGGTATACGCGCTATAGTAACACCAGAAATGTTCTATGAATAAGTTAAGCATCAACCGTGAGAGCTAATGTTGCCAAGATTATGTAGATCTACCTTCTTTTCCTATTGGTAAATAATGACCATATTCAATTCATTCAATGTTCTTTAAGTTTTGATTATTTAAATATTTTTATACCTCTTAATTATAATATCATTTTTCAGATCAATCGTTTGTGTTTGGTCAAATTTATTTCAGTGCAATTCAGACTTTGCCTTATGTTTGCAGTGGGTGGCGCTGATTCGATCTGATTTTCGGGGTGAGGCCCCTGGCCATATATCATGCAGATACAATCTGTTCTCGATGTGTTGCCAAAAAGAAAACATAATGATAATACAAAAATCGACGCGAGATCAATTGAAATTCTCGTAGCGCGAATTTTTAGCTCATTGAGGATGAAGACGAGCCACCTTCAGTTGGAATAACGGTGAGCAACGTGCGGTGTTTGCGAAAAACCATAAATAGTATCTTATATAGTATCAATGGAAGTGTGGATTTTGGCAAAAGGAAGTGTCATCGTCACGCCCACACAATAGTGACATTTGGCATGGGTCAAGTTTTGATCGATTGTTATTGATTTGTTTTGATTTTGAGCGATTTTCTAAGCGCGTTCCGAGGACTGCTCCACTAAGTGACAGGCGGCGACGTGCCGCTGTCAAATTGAACTGTCAACTCGGGCATTTGATTGTCGGACTGAGCTTAACGCAAACTTAATTTATTTATTTTATTTTATTTTAATGGCCGCTAGAAAGTATCACGTATACGCACCATGCACGCGACTCTGATCGTTGGCGGAAAATTTTTAATTCCCATTTCAACGCCCACACGTGTGTCCACTGTCTTGTTTTTTGTGGCTTCTGAAATTGAAAAGCGCTCATGATTTTCCATTGCAGTGCGATTTGCATTTTAGAAAGTTACATGTGTTTTTTCGCTGCATTATAATCGAGGCAGAAAACCCAAAAAAAAGAAAGGCCTTCTGATGGCAGTACAACTTTTGTAAAAAAAAAAATACCATGTGTTCTGTCTATTTATAATTAAATTTTTTCATAATTCCAGTCATGATTCTGCTTTTTGCCAGAAAGTAGAACCTCAACACGTCACCTTTGCGTCAACTGGCTTATCTTTGCACGATTCCCGTCTGTCTGTCTGTCTTTTCCAGCAAACATTTCACGCAAAATGCATTGCAAGTTGCTTTTGCTTACTTTGTTGCCAAGTGCGAAAAAATGCCTGAAGGCATGTTAATGATTTATGCTAAATAATGTACTGAAGGTAATCAAAAAGGGTGTATCAAAGTGTTGGTTTAAATTTCTGCTTGGAAAAATATTACTAAAATAAAAATGTTTTCTTTTGAGGCGTGAATATCATCATTTTAAAAAATACCTTTCAAATCAGTCAAGAAATATTAAATTGATATATTTTTAAATCACAATTTTGTAAATATTATAACTAAGTCAAAAATAAATTAATTTCAAGTCGGATAGCTTTTCTATACTAGTTTTTATAGGGCCCTTACCAAATTTTGAAATTTCGGTATAAACAAATCTTAAAATTTATTATTCTAGCAGATACGATTAATTCGATTCGGCTTTTCTTGCTGATCAAAAATATATGTGATTTATAGAGTCCAAAACGACTCCTTCTCCTGCAATGGTATAAAAATTTAGCAAAATTTGGCTAAAATTAGTAAATAATTTAAAATTAAGCTAGTTAAATTAAGTTTGAATTATTGAAATCCCTAAAAACAGATTGCTGTATCACTTTTAAATTAAAATTACGTAATAGGATTAATGGCAATAAGAGATTTAATTGGAAAATAAATGCGTAACTAGAACAGCTGATTCTAGAGCTAGGACAGATCCCTCCGATAGCATCTATATATGTACATATATGACATAATTGGCATAGTTTAGACTTACCGCAGTAGGGGAAACACGATTATCCTTTTCCATTGCTTATTTCCTTCCAGTGTAGGGTTATATTCCTGGTGAGGGTTTATCCGGGTGTGGTAAATCCTGATGTGGTACATTGGTCAGGTGATATTATTGGGGTCGAAGAGCTATCACTATCACTATCACTATCACTATAGATTTTAGTTCTTAGTTTTATGAAAATCGGAGAACTATATATAATATAACTGCCAAATAAACGGTTATTAAATGCAGAGGATCAGTAAGTAACTCTGAACAGTAAGAATCTATGGAAAGTTAGTAACTATGACCAGAAACTATGTATGATAAGTAACTACCTTTGAACACTAATAAACAATGACTTGCAACTTTTGAAACACAACACATTTCTGATACATGGCCGGCAGCAGTAGCTTCATTCCGGGGATGTTAGAACAAGTTGGGAATCATATGTTCATGTGCGAGATTTGTTTTGGAACAAATTTAAGAGCTAGCTATTTGAATGAAACTAAGGATTTATTCTTCTATATAATTTTACTATCATACAAATCGGAGTATGCCGAATCGGTGGACTATATATAAACATATATATAGCTCACATAGGAGCAATCGGACGATTAAGAACCATGCTCAGTAATTAATAATGAGCAATAAGTAACTCTGAACAGTGATTATCTATGACCAGTAAGTAACTCTGAACAGTGATTATCTATGCCAGTAAGTAACTCTCAACAGTGATTATCTATGCCAGTAAGTAGCTATGATGGGTAAGTATCAATGACCAGTAAGTATGTATAATCAGTTACTTACTTTGAACACTAATAAACAATGACTTGCAACTTTTGAAACAACACATTTCTGATACATGGCCGGCAGCAGTAGCTTCATTCCGGGGATGTTAGAACGAGTTGGGAATCATATTTTCATGTGCAAGGTTTGTTTTGGAACAAATTTAAGAGCAAGCTATTTGAATGAAACTAAGGAGTTGTTCTTCTATATAATTTTACTATCAAATAAATCGGAGTATGCCGAATCGGTGGACTATATATATACATACATATAGCTCACATAGGAGCAATCGGACGATTAAGAACCATGCTCAGTAATTAATAATGAGCAATAAGTAACTCTGAACAGTGATTATCTATGACCAGTAAGTAACTCTCAACAGTGATTATCTATGCCCAGTAAGTAACTCTCAACAGTGATTATCTATGCCCAATAAGTAGCTATGATGGGTAAGTATCAATGACCAGTAAGTATGTATAATCAGTTACTTAGTTTGAACACAAATAAACAATGACTTGCAACTTTTGAAACACAACACATTTCTGATACATGGCCGGCAGCAGTAGCTTCATTCCGGGGATGTTAGAACGAGTTGGGAATCATATGTTCATGTGCAAGGTTTGTTTTGGAACAAATTTAAGAGCAAGCTATTTGAATGAAACTAAGGAGTTGTTCTTCTATATAATTTACTATCAAATAAATCGGAGTATGCCGAATCGGTGGACTATATATATACATACATATAGCTCACATAGGAGCAATCGGACGATTAAGAACCATGCTCAGTAATTAATAATGAGCAATAAGTAACTCTGAACAGTGATTATCTATGACCAGTAAGTAACTCTCAACAGTGATTATCTATGCCCAGTAAGTAGCTATGATGGGTAAGTATCAATGACCAGTAAGTATGTATAATCAGTTACTTACTTTGAACACTAATAAACAATGACTTGCAACTTTTGAACCACAACACATTTCTGATACATGGCCGGCAGCAGTAGCTTCATTCCGGGGATGTTAGAACGAGTTGGGAATCATATGTTCATGTGCAAAGTTTGTTTTGGAACAAATTTAAGAACTAGCTATTTGAACGAAACTATAGAGTTATTCTTCTGTACAATTTGACTAGTATATAAGTCGGAGCATGGCGAATCGGTAGACTATATATAAACATATATATAGCTGACATAGGAACAATCGGATGATTAAGAACCATGCTCAGTAATTAATAATGAGCAATAAGTAACTCTGAACAGTGATTATCTATGCCCAGTACGTAACTCTCAACAGTGATTATCTATGCCCAGTAAGTAGCTATGATGGGTAAGTATCAATGACCAGTAAGTATGTATAATCAGTTACTTACTTTGAACACTAATCAACAATGACTTGCAACTTTTAAAACACAACACATTTCTGATACATGGCCGGCAGCAGTAGCTTCATTCCGGGGATGTTAGAACGAGTTGAGAATCATATGTTCATATGCAAGGTTTGTTTTGGAACAAATTTAAGAGCTAGCTATTTGAACGAAACTATAGAGTTATTCTTCTGTACAATTTGACTAGTATATAAGTCGGAGCATGGCGAATCGGTAGACTATATATAAACATATATATAGCTCTCATAGGAACAATCGGATGATTAAGAACTATGGTTAGTAATTAATTATGAGCAGTAAGTAACTCTGAACAGTGATTATCTATGACCAGTAAGTAGCTATGATGGGTAAGTATCAAAGACCAGTAAGTATGTATAATCAGTTACTTACTTTGAACACTAATAAACAATGACTTGCAACTTTTGAAACACAACAAATTTCTGATACATGGCCGGCAGCAGTAGCTTCATTCCGGGGATGTTAGAACGAGTTGGGAATCATATGTTCATGTGCAAGATTTGTTTTGGAACAAATTTAAGAGCTAGCTATTTGAATGAAACTAAGGATTTATTCTTCTATATAATTTTACTATCATACAAATCGGAGTATGCCGAATCGGTGGACTATATATATACATTTATATAGCTGACATAGGAGCAATCGGACGATTAAGAACCATGATCAGTAATTAATAATGAGCAGTAAGTAACTCTGAACAGTGATTATCTATGCCCAGTAAGTAACTCTCAACAGTGATTATCTATGCCCAGTAAGTAGCTATGATGGGTAAGTATCAATGACTAGTAAGTATATATAATCAGTTACTTACTTTGAACACTAATCAACAATGACTTGCAACTTTTGAAACACAACACATTTCTGATACATGGCCGGCAGCAGTAGCTTCATTCCGGGGATGTTAGAACGAGTTGGGAATCATATGTTCATGTGCAAGATTTGTTTTGGAACAAATTTAAGAGCTAGCTATTTAAACGAAACTATAGAGTTATTCTTCTTTACAATTTGACTAGTATATAAGTCGGAGCATGGCGAATCGGTGGACTATATATAAACATATATATAGCTGACATAGGAACAATCGGACGATTAAGAACTATGATCAGTAATTGACTATGGGCAGTAAGTAACTCTGAACAGTGATTATCTATGACCACTAAGTAACTCTGAACATTGATTATCTATGACCAGTAAGTAGCTATGATGGGTAAGTATCAATGACCAGTATGTATAATCAGTTGTAGTAGTAGTAGTATATAAGTCGGAGAGTGGGAAATCGGTGGACTAAATATAAATAATCATATAAAATGTATACATATATACAAAAATTATAACTTTTTTATTTTCCAACATTTTTTATTTTGCTTCAGGGAACTAATGTCATTAGAGAATATTATACAAGTACTTTAAATTAATTAAGTTATCACATCCCATAAAAAGTCCCCATAGACCGAGCATTCCCCATCCTGTTTTCAAAGAATCTTCAGTTAATAATGTGAAAAAGTTATATTTCCGAGAAATTGTTTATCCATTAGTAGCAGACAACTACAATGGCAAATGGGTGACGACGAGGATCCGACCGCCACAGAGAAGATTACACTCGAAAGATTGCCCCGCCAACGACGTGAGATTGCAGTTTTATGGCCTGGCAAAAAGATCACTTCTGTAGAGATAGAACCATAACCATCGCCGAACTCCAGAGATGGGCAAACCCGAATTCGATGGGGTTCATTGGCTCGGCCCTGGGCGCTTCGCAGAGAAGGATTATGCAACGAAACGAAATATCATCATGCAGTGACTTTCACACACCCAAATAATACAAAAAAATAAATAACGAATCCAAAACTCCCGAAACAAGCGAAGCCTATTAGGGCGCATTAGCAATTTAGAATGGTGTGCTACCAGTCCACGTATTACACTATTACGCGACAATTATGAATTTCTAATTTCGTGTTTATTTTAACCCTTTTCCCTCCCTCTGGCTGGCCAATGGCTAGCTGGTTCTATCAAAATCACGTACGCCTCGAAAAAGCGAAAGCTGCACAGAGGCCATTGGCATCGGAAATAGCTATAAAGAAATAATAATAATAATACATTTGGTATATTTGCCATTAATTATGTATTAAAAAGATGGCTCTTGTTGCTTGCTATTATTGTACTATGATGGCTAACAACTATATGACGGGTCCTCAGAGCTAATTTTTTAGCCTATCTGGTGTTGTGCATCTTTTTTCTTTCGATGATGGTGCCCCCGCTTAGAGGGTCTGCACAACCTGTAATAATTCTAGGCTCGAGTTGGCCACGATGTTGAACTTTTCCGGATACTGGGTGCGGATCAGCTTGATGAACTCCATGGCTTTATCCTTAGTATCCTGGTCTGCCATCTGCTTGTCCTTCACAGCCCTAAGAATGATAATCAGCATTCCCTCGATACGATCGACGATGCTGGACGCGGCCTGTGTGCAAAGCAGGTGAAATGTTTTCAGCACAACATTGTACTCCTTAAAATCCTCGCGTAGTGGAAGACGAGAGAAGAACAATTGCGAGATGTCCTCCAGCGGCACAGTCTGAGCATTGGTCAGAATCAGGCGCGCCAGCGCTCCGCAAATGTTGTCCATGGCCGCAGGAGCCGTCTCCTTGGCGTTCGCATTGGAAAGGGCTTGAAAGATCAACGGATATGAGCTGTAATAAAATTTAAAGATTACCTTCAATAAAATCAATGTTCTATTACTATATTCCCGTAGTACTCACTCATTTGACTTCTCTCCAGAATAGAAGACTAGCTCCCCGAGGCCGTAGAACGAATTCGCACGCGCTTTAGGATCGGTATCTTTGGTTCCCACCAGGAACAAGGGATAGAGAGTATCGAAATATGTGGCGGAATAGCTCCCTAGGTTCTGGAATGATTCGGCCAGAGTTTTATAGATATACGCCCTATCCTCCGGCTGATGGTTCTTCTTGGCCTTGGCCTGCAAATAGAAACAGCAAAATATTGATTACGATATTCAAACTCAACAGACAGGAGAACAGGGCCCAGGAGATGCCTTTTAACCTACCAGCTTTTCGTCCAGGAAGCAGAAAATCCGTCCAAAGTACATCGAGAAGGTCTGAGGGTCAAGAGCGAAGCCAAACGATGCCACCAGATTGGCTGCCCCTCCACAATCATTTTGGCTACATCGGATTCCTCCTCCCCATCATCCTCGTCGTTGTCATCGCCCTTGCCATCGTCCTTCTGATCATTTAATTGGCAGGTCAATTTGTGTAGAAATATGTCACTGATGCAGGCACAGATCAGCTCGGCACACTCCTGGTTCGGCATGGCCAGCTGCTTGTAGACCCGAAAAAGTTTACCCACTTCATCGAGCAGCACGACAAGCACCTTCTCAACCTGGTCGCTCCGCATCATCTCTACGAATTTGGGTATTATGGTCTCGCAGATGCTGGTCACGACGTCGGTGTCGCCCGACCTATTGTAAGCACCAACGAACTCGCAGAGGGCGATTGCAGAGGCTATTCGAATTTCATAGGAGACAGAATCGAGCGTCTGGAAAACGTTCTCAAAGGACGTATGAAGATAGGGGTTGAAGGCGGCACCAGTGTTGGCGGCAAAGTCACGAAGCGTCCAAATGGCCACCATCTTTGTAAGGCAACATAAAATGTCCATCTTGTATCTGTCCAAATCGCCATCGCCCTCGTCGGCTACACTATAGGGATTACCCGGGATTTCTTCATCCGCAGTGACCGCCTCCAGAAGTAAATCCAGCTCTGTCTTGCCATCCAGATTCGGATCGGTTACCTCAGTGAAAATCATCGTTTGAAAAATCTGAGGTATGACCTCGGGGAAAACCTCGGCCATGTCCTCCTTCAACACAAAAGAAATAGCACCGATCAGACTGTAAGTGGCATAACGGAAGTACGGATTGTTGGGCCCCTCCTTCAGCAGCCTCAGGCAGTAGATCTTCGTGTCGTTGGCCATCGGCAGGATGTGTTCTTTCGGCATGAAGCGGAAAATCAACCCAAGCCCCTCGAAAGTCTGAATCTGCAACATTGAAATTTGAGCCAAAAGATCTTTCAGCACAAGTGTGCTAAGAATCTCGATAATCCTCTGAAAATAAGGCATCACGCTCTCCTTGGCTGCCTCATCCAGATTCTGCCAAAATATGTCTATACCGCCAATCATTGTATCAAGAATTCCTGATTCCGGCTGATATCCTACCCGATGGATCTCTACCAACTGATGTACATAGATGGGCACAATCAATCGTGCAAGCTTGGAGATATCCGGCTGCAAGTGCAAGGAGAACTGGGCGAGGGCAGAGAATGCGGCGAGTTGCACCTGGGGCTCGCTGTCAGCGATTCCATGGATGATTTCATCTATCATATCCTTCAGATACTTATGGCGTATGGTATCCGAACACCCCTCGACTACAATGCCCATGCTGTCCAAGGCAGCTGCCCTGCGAGTCGGGTTCGGATTCCTTAGCTCCGGCATCAGCAACTCAACCAAAAACTGAATTAGCTTTCCCGACGGCATGTGGGTAGCCAGTGAATCCAACGTGTGCGAAGCCGCTATTTGCGGGTCCTCCTTATCATCATAGGGTTTGTCACACATTACCTCAAATAAGACGGACAGAATTTGCTTCAGTAGCTTCTCCTGAACGATGGCCTTCTTTTTGTTGAGCGCAAAGCTCCCAATGAAAAATATCACCTTAGCGCGAATCCCATCCACAATGTCTATATTGCTCGCTATATCTAAACAGAAGTCCAGTACCAAATTCACGTTAGTTAGCAGATGGGGAACATATACGGTCATGTTCTCCAACATAATAAGCACCTCGAGAACATTCTTGTGGTCACCCTTCAAGGCTATCGCGTCCAGCGTTCGAAGGACCAGCGGCAGGACCAGGACTATATTTTGCTCGGTGGCAGTGTTTCCCGCAATAAATGGAATCAAATATCTTGTACCCGTTACCATGTTGGCTACGCTGGGTGTGCACAGGTCTTTCTGGGATTCTGCAGTCAAAAGGATGTGGGCAAATAACGTGCTGAAAGTTTCCATGTGGACACTGACTTTATCGGGTGCGGCGGCCATTATTGTGGCATAGATCAAAGAGCCTCCCTCACAGTTGTTGGGATTGCAACTGCTACAGCACTCCATGATGTAGTTGAGAAGATCCGGCATAAAAATAGCCGTCCTCTCTGCCTCATACTTTAGCAGTATGGCCAAAAAATGGACTAAAACTTTTTGCACACTCTTTTCCTTCTCCGTGATGAGAGCAATCATCATGTCACTCATGATTCTGAGCGAAGAACGATATATAAAATTTCAAGGTAAGATAGCTGACTTACGAGACTTTGTGCTCCGAGAGGACCGCCGACCAGTGACTCTTCTCCTGGAGCCGCTTAACCAGTAGCAAGGTTGCGTTGTAGCGCATATAGATATCCGTGTTAGTCTTTCCAATATGAGCCAGGCAAAGCAGACTCTCTGGAGTCTTGAAGGCATTCATCAAAGCGACCGACGACTAGATGATGTAGTGGTATGAAAAATATGAGAAAAGGCGGCTTCTCGAGTGAGAAGAATAGCCTCATTTCGAAGCTTCCTCAACAGTTGTGGGAACTTGATTCCCAAATCATACCTACCGCACGTTTCGTATCTACATCGGGACATACGAGTCCGTTGAGAATTTCTATCATATCATTCTCCATGTTTGCAGCTTTATCTGAGTTTAATGCAAATCCTGGACAAAATTCAACAACGGGGACAAGAATTTTGCACGGGCCAAGAGATAATTCGTGAATTTCTAAGTACAACGCGAAAATAATTATAGGTATCGAAATCGGGTATAGCTAAACTTTAAAAATTTTTACAAATATCCATAAGAAATGTTTCTTGAATAAGCTGAATACTTGTGTTGAATGTAGTATTTAATACAACTAAACAGATACAACCAATCTATAAATTGACAGACCCGTCAATGTTTACTCTTTTGGAATTATGAAATGTTTATAATAAATGTTTTCTTTAATTCGGATTTTAATGGCATCTTAAATCTAAAATCTGATCCTGATGATCCAAACATTATGCTTTTCTTTATGCTTTTCCAGAGATCTTAGAAAAGGATCTTACATATTTAAGTTATTGATCAAAGCTTCCCACTTCGCTATTTTTTTTTATAGAAGTAATATTTTTAGTTTTGTCTTTTGGAAATTGTAGGTGATGATTCTTCCTATTCTCCACGTTCTCAACTGGCTCTCTCTCCCACACAGGTTCCACTGGGATTGGGTTCCACAAGCAAGTCCAAAAAAGCGGCACACTTTAAGCGCATGCGCGCCAAACTCAACACATACATGCACACACACGTCATCCACACGAACACTCCTATGTAAGTACGTGTGCGTATACGCAATGTCACGTCTGCGCAGAAGTCTCCTCATCGCCATGTAATGGTAAAGGTAATGGCAATGACAGTGGCTTGTAGGTGTAATTGAGTTGTTGCTGTGCCACCTTTCTTTGCCCCAAGTGTGTGTGTGCGTGTGCTTGTGCGCACGCACCTCAAAGGCCCTTGGTGTGCGTGAGTGAGTCTTTCTTTCGGTTTCTCTGGCTTTTTGCATTCTTAATAAATCAGCGCGAAGAATATATAAATTGGGCGGCACACCGTTCGGACGGTCGCAGTTAGTATTTCCCAGCCAACGGTGCCTCACAGGTGTGATAGCCGCAGTGCGAGTGCAAGCCTTGGTTTTAAGACCTGGATATCGAAACCGAATTGGATTAAACACCACACACACACACCCACAATCCTTCACAGCTCCTCGAAAAGAAATCGCCCGACGAAACGGATTATCGAATGTGCTCAAGACAAGTGTGATATTAAATTTACATATATAGTGACTTTAACTGAACAGTGTTGAAAAAATGTGGAAAACCGTGTGTGTGCTGATTCTTCTGTCGGTCCTCTGCAGCGCAGGACCGCTGAGTTCCCACCAGGTGAGTTTCAGAACAATGATCGGGTAGAATCTGTAGATATTGCAAACAGGTGATCTATAAAGTGGTAATATTTAGTTTTCTAGTAACAGGATTATCCTGATAGCAGTTTATACTTAAATCGACTTATATTGCTCATGGTTTACAAAGATTTTATTTGTAACGATGAGCGGGTAATATCTGTATTTGATTAAAAATCTTGAATATCCTTAAGTTGTATTATCTAGTAATAGAGCTAATAGCTATAGTCTCGAAAAATTGTTTATGTTTCAGTAGAAATTTTTTAATCAGGTAAATTAATTTTGGGGTGATTCGTTCATCACATAACAACATTTAACATCTTATAAACCCAAATTATCCAACTTCCAATCCTATAACCGGTTAAAACGTTAAGCACAGACAACCGGGAATATCCAGCAGACAGCCTGACCACCAAAGTGACCACTTCCGTTCGCCTTAACGGAAATGGTTACTGAGAGAAGAACTGTTAACGAAAATGTTTGCCGGCCCGCCGAGCCATACGATAAAGTTTTAATGGGACACAACCTGAACCTGTGGGGGACTCGGTGCATTTGCATACTCCCCGTCGAAAATCGTACATCTTCTCGCTCAGTCCCGGCTTATTTGGTATGCCAAGCGTTTAGCCTTCTTTAACGGCCAAGCACCAAGAAACCAAGAGAAACGAAGAGAATTCTTGGTCTAAGGTATTTATAGTCACTTGCAGGTGGCTTAATGACAGGTAGAAGCCGGCAAGAATTCGCCATGTGGAATGTTCCAGGAATAGCTAATTCCCCTTAATACGACAGCCATTTAAAATTTGCAATGAAAATAGCATTACTCATCCATTGGCCCTTATTGGGGATATCACGGGGGAAAGACTTTCGTTCAAAGCTCATTGAAATGCAGCGCCCAAAATAAATTAAAAAAACAAATCGATATGGCTAAAATATTATGTGATAATATTTGAGCGTTCCGATTCGAAAGTGACTTCAATTGCACTGCGCGGCCCTTAAAGGGCAGCCAGCCACGGCAACAGGTGCGAAGTGCACAATAAGGCAGGGGTTATTTTTTCGATTCCAGTCGATTCGATTCGATTCGCTTCAATTTTCACTTGCGGCCAACCGAATAGACCAAAACTAGAACACAAGTGAAATTTTTCGGGTCCCTAGGTGATCGCAGGGTCACGTGCTGGATTTCTTGGATTATCCACGCCGATCACGTACCTCGTTAGCTGAATGATGGTCGCAGCTGGCTAATCATATACAGAAATTAAGTTTAGTGTTTGGTATTACGACAAAGTAAAGTAAAATAGGTAGATCTTTTAAAATGGTCATGGTAAATTTGTTAAATATTGACTAGACAAGTGGTTAAAACTGTATTTTAGAAGTTGGTCGATGTGCAAATAAAATAGGAACTTAGATACAAAAATATCTTTAACAAGATGAAGTCAGTCATTTCGAATTTTCAACAAATCATAAATAAGTCAAAAATTTATTAATTCAATTCGGAAAGCTGGTCTGTTATAGTTTTAATAATGCTAACAAGCCAGAGTAATAACTTTTAAAATTTAAAGAACTAAATTTTTTGTAAAATTTTAACGATGTAACCCCTTATAAAATTTTCAATTTTCGAAAAAATTTCAAAAATTTATTTTTTGACCAGACATGGCTGGAACGACTGGGCGGTTAATGCTGATCAAGAATATATATAGTTTATAGGGTCTGAAATGACTCCTTTATTACGTTTCAAGCTTCTGATTTAAAGTATACACAGCAAAAAGGTATAAAAACAGACAATTTTTTTGAAAAATCAAAGTTTTTCGGACATCATAACTTTGCCGAAATTGCATTAATTTTAACTCGGAAAGCATTTCTGTGCTTGTTTTTGTTGCACTAACAAATCTGCATACTGCGTTCGTTGATGCTATTGTCAGTTTTTGACTAAAATTATAAAAACCAGCAAAAGGTATAAAAACAGACAATTGTTGTCCAAAAATCATAGTTTTAAAAACTCATAACTAAGCCAAAAAATCATTCATTTTAATTCGGAATGCGGATATATGTTAATTTTTTATAGATTAACAAATCTGCATACTCAGTTTTTAAATTTAGAAAATTACATTTTTTGTCTAATTTTGACAATTTTAATGATGTAACCCCTTATAAAATGTTCAATTTTCGAAAATATTTCAAAAATTAATTTTTTGACCGGACATGGCTAGAACGACTGGGCTGTTGATGCTGATCAAGAATATATATGATATATGGGGTCAGAAACGACTCCTTCCCTGCGTTACAAGCTTGTGACTGAAATTATAGCACCCTTGCAAGGGTATAAAAAATTCAATAATAAAAGGGTTTGTTTCTTATTGAATAATAATCATTTGCTTAGCCTTATAAAGCAATAAGTTTTACTCTCTTTTTGTTAGGTCTTAATAATAATCTTTTACGTGCTTTATATTTGTAAAACGTATATATTTTTATAATTTTGCGCCAAGCATATTTTAATAAAAAGATTAAATTTATATATTTATATGTAATATATTTTTCTTAAATAATATTCTACACAACCCAGTTAAATATACCTATTTTGCCAGATTAATATGATGTTTATAGTCTTACAAATATAATAAATATCAAATATAAATAAAATGTACTAAATTTATTATCTCTTTTCGTTCCAGAAGAGAAAAACCCCAATGGTCCGTGAGGAACCGGTGCCGGCTGAGGTGGAAATGCCAGAGCAGCCTGAGGCGGAGGTTGAGACAGCTCCATCTCAGGAGGCAGCTTCCTTGGGCACCCTCACTCTGCCCAGCAATGCCACCTCCATTCGGGCAGATATTACGGATAATTTCTCGTGCTCGAACAAGACATATGGCTACTACGCGGATGTGGAGAACGATTGCCAGATCTTCCACGTGTGCCTGCCGGTGACCTATGCCGATGGCCGTGAGAACACCTTCCGCTGGAGCTTCATCTGCCCCGAGGACACTATATTTAGCCAGGTGAATGTTCTAAATATCACTATTTTATTCGATTTGATTTCAATGCTTCCTTTTCCAGGAATCCTTCACCTGCATGCGCCGCGAGGACATGACCATCGAGTGCGCGGATAGCTCTAGGTACTACGAGCTGAATGGCAACTTTGGTGGTGCAGTGGAGGAGGAGATTAAGCCCACGCCCGAGGAGAGTGAGGAGCCGGAAAAGGAGGTGATGGATGTCAAACCCGTTGAGGCTGAGCCAGAGGTCCCAGCAGAGCCTGTTGTTGTGGAAACCCCCAAGCCCGCAAAGCCAGTCAAGGCCCAGAAGCCCAAGCCCAATCGCCGGAAACCTCAGCAGCCCCACAGAAAGACACCAGTTCCGGTGACCGCTGCTCCCGAAGTGGAAGCTGTTCCTGAACCAGTTGCCGCCTTGGAAGTGGAGGCTAAGCCACCGAAGCCGCAGCGATTCACCATCAGGCCGAATAAGGAGAAGCCTCATGCCTTCAGGCCCGCCATCGCTGCTCCTCCACCAATGAGAAATGAACTCTTCAATGGCATTCGCAAGCGTCCGGCGATCTTCAATAAGCCAGCGAGCACGAGCACAGCCAAGCCCGTGGAGGAAGCGGAGGTGGTGGTGGTGGATAGCGAGCCAGCTGTCACCGAGGCTGTGGTTCAGCTAAGTGAGCCCCAGCCCACTCTGAAGCTGCAGACAATGTTCGCGGAGCCAGCAGTTATTCCCGTGGAAGTCCAAGAGCCCGAGGTTCAGGCTTCCGAGCCAGCCCTGTCCTTCGTTCAGCCAGAGACAGTTCCGGAAGTGGTGGCACCTACAAAGATTGAAATTGATACCAGGATCGAAGAGGTAAAGCCCATTGAAGCCATTGAGGAGATTCCCGCTGTCATAGTAGAAAGTTTAGATGAAAAGAAGCCCGAGGAGGAAGAGAAAGAATCAGCAACTCAGGAGAATGTAAAGGCAGAAGAGGAGTTCAAACCAGAAGAAGGAACTAAAGTAGACCACGATGTTAAGTCTGTAGAAGAGGTCAAGCCAGCAGACCAGATCCAAGCTGAAAAGGAGATCATGCCAATCGAGGAGATCAAGCCAGCAGATGAGATCAAGTCAGAGGAGATTCACCAGCCCGAAGAAGAGCCTGAGATACCAGCCCAGGTTGAGGAGATCCATGAAGTCAAGCCCGAGGATATCAAAGCGGATCCTGCCATCATCGAAACCAGCAACTCCAATGAGGAAACCCACGTCAGCATTGAAGCTTTGGAGGCAGCCAAGCCAGCCGATGCCCCGGAGAGCATGCCTGCCACTCCCGAAATGGAGCAACACAGTCCGTTGGTGGAGGAAATCCTTGATAGCAGCAGCAACAACGCAGAGCCAGTAGAAGGTGGAGAGACCCAGGAGTCCCTGGGTGGCTTCAAGCCAGTCGATCCAGTCATGGCCGCTGAGGCGGAGCAATTGATCACTGATTTCCTTAATACCCTGAAAAAGAACGAAGAGAAACCCGAGACTGACATGGCACCCATTTATAATGCAGATGTGTCCATCGAGGAGGCCAAGCTGCCAGAGCCCGAGATCGTGGACAAGAATGCATCCGTCGAAGAGCAAATCCTAGAAGAATCGGAGCAGCAAAAGAACCAAAAGCATCAGATGATGAAGGACTCACCCATAATCAACATCATGCAGCTCAACCATCTGCCAATGGACTATCAGATCCCAGTTCAGGTTATTCCAATGGATTCTGAGCCTGTTTCCGAGATCTCTGAGCCATCAGAGGTGCCTGAGGAAATGAAGGCACAAGAAACACCAGAGGAAGTCAAAGAAGAAACACCTACTGAGGAGATCCAAGAAGCTGTGAAAGAAGCTACTCCAGAAGAAGTCACGGAAACTATTTCCGAGGCAGAGAAGGAAATCACTCCTGAGGCTGAAGCCAAGCCCGAGGAGACGCCCAGCCATGATGATGCCCAGGAGGAGAGCCTAGTCACCGCCTCTTACATGCCCTCCATTAGCATCGATGACATTGTGGAGCTGGTGAAAGAGCGCCTCGACCAGACCCCCAAGAAGGATCAGATGGCTCCCATGGAGCTGATACTCACGCCAGGTGCCGCGGCACCCATGACCCTGGTTCAGAGCACTCCCGTCCAGGCAGTCGAGCAGCAGCCAGAGCCGATGCCCGAGCAAGAGGAGCTCATCCTGCCCATCTACAAGCGCGTCTCAGCCGCCGAACCAGCCATGTCCAAGGTGCAGACGCTGCCCGTGACCGGAAGCAAGGTGGAAACGGTACCAGAATCCCAACCGGAGATCAGGGAGCCCAAAATGGATGCCCGCAAGCGACGCTTCCTGTTCCGTGCCGATGCCAGCTAAGCTCCCAGAGAGAGATAACAGAGATAGACGGATAGATAGCAGTCCATGGAGAGGACCAGCCTCCTGCTCCCGCTTAGCCCGAACCGGAACCCCGTTCACACCTCCTAGTTCCCTAAAACGCTATCCCACTCATTTGCACCTAGGCAAGTTCTACATTAATTATTTTTGATTTCCTAGTTTTATGGCCACATTTCCCAAAGGAAAAACGCGCACGAGAGTTGAAATTTAAGTTTAGAATTGTTGTTCCCACGAGTGTCGAAGAAAATTACAACAAAAAATATTCAAAAAGAGAAAAAAAATTAAAATAAAAATAATAAAAATTTAAAACTTAAACTACTTAGTTTGCTTTGTGTGGTAAAAATATAATTCGAAATGTTTTTGGCCAGCTAATTAATTCCATCGTGCAGAGGTTTGAGTGTCTTGTGTCTTGCCAAATTGCATTCAACCTCTGAACGGTAGAGATGGTAAGCTTAAGAGCAACCTAAAGACATATTAATAATTTAAATATTATATAAAGTTAAGCCAATAAATAAGTGATTTTTAAAGAGTATTTTTCAGTGCAGAAACTGCACTTTTTCACAACAAAATTCTTCCTCTTCTCAGCACATTAACAAAAGACTTAAAACACAAACTTGTTTGTTTCTAAATTACACATATAAACAAGTATAAAAAATAACAGAAATTAAATACAAAGATCAAAGTGCTGATTTTGAGACAGAAGATGGAAGGAATTTTTGTTTTTAAAATATTTCAAATACAAATTCGTATTTTATTATAGAAAATCGTTTACAAATCGCATTAACACTTAAGCTTTGGGTAATTAGCTGTATGAGGCAACTACCAGGTGAGAGAACTACAAAATATACAAAATACAGTGGACACTGGACGATAAGTAACTATGACATCACATTGACATTGAACACAACCCCACGTTGCCTACGCCTACGCCTCCGTCTCCTGGTCCAGTTCGCCCGCCTGGATCTCCTCCGGTGTCCGCAGATCGATGGCGAACTTTTGGCGAGTCGGCGTTATGGTGTCCCCGGTAGTTTGGTCATCCTCCTCCCCGGCCAACTCCTTAACCCTTCGGCTGTAATCCTGAAAGGCGGCGGCCAGGGCAAAGGTCAGCTTACGGGCCATCGCCCGGCTATCGCAGACAAAGGCGTGCACCTCGAACGGATGCGGACTAGCCTCATCCTTGACCACAATCATTGCAAAGACCCTGGTGTAGACCAAATCCTGCACTCCATACGATATTGTGTCAATGGGATAGCTCCAGTGGTTGATGCTGGCCTTGGGGGAAATGATCTCCAGCTGGACGCCGTTGGTGGATACCTTTAGGTCACAGTTCGGTAAGACCTTGTTGGGCGGCAGGTTCTTGGCCACGCCCACCATAATATCCACGGGCCGGCGGGTGTACTTGATGCCCCATAATCCACGAGCCACCTCCGAGCCAATGTATTTTACCTGTAAGTAGGGAAATGACATATATTTTAATAAGTTTTAAATAATATTTAAAGTTAAGACAAAGTTTGCTAATTCTTAAATATTATATATTGGGAAACCTGAAACTCTCAACAAAAGACCGCATTTTTCTCTCATTTGGCGTGTGAGAGATTTTTTTGTGGGGGTGCCTCTGGGACAGCTCATTGGTGGCACTCGCTTCCGCTGCGCATGCGTTGCCGTTAGAGTCGCTTCATTTGCATCCGACCTGGCCGCGGTTCTCGACCGGATGTCCACAGCCGGGCCAAAAAGTTGGAGCCACCGCTGCTGCTCATAAGTTTCTGTATGTGAGAGCTCTCTCGGGTTCAGCAGGGCGTGACGCGTGCGTGTCTGGCTCTGTTATTTTTCGTTTCATTTTTGGCCATTTCGGTTTCGAGTGCGGGTGGTATTTCCATATGTACATATGTTTGGGTTGGATTTCAACACTCGAAGAAAATATAGCATACATTTCTAATTATAAATTGTACATTTAAAACAATAAATACATTTTTTGAAGTAAGGCAATATTAAATGCTGTGCAAAAATTAAATGAAGAAATAAAATATTAAATAAATCTATTTTATCCTTAATAATTTAATAGTGTTTCCCAGTGTATAACCCACCATGAAAGAGGTGTTTAGGGGGATCGGTGACCGAACTTGTGCCAGTCATTTCACAGCATTTAAATAGCCATTCCGCAATGCAGACTCACCTTGAACGTTATGGGCAAGTCCTCCACATTGACCTGGCTATCCAGATCGGTGGTGCTGCTGCTATTGGAGGCCATTGTCTATATCTTTATATATCAATCTCGTTATCCGAAGCTATTGGGACAGCTGTGTCAGGTCAGATCGCGGCCGTTAATCGCATTCACCGCACAACCAACTGAAAAAGGTTACAGCAAAAAAAAGATCGTAAGTAAGTGAGTAGTGAGCTCCCATTAGGTGTACCTTCTGGTGGCTATGTAGTGCACATTACCATATCTTCACCGTAATCGCTAGACTTTACATGGTTTACTTTGTGCGCTACTTAAACCTATATATGCGGATATATACGAGGAGAACACTGTATATCGGTCGAGACTAATTGCTCTGTTTGGCTTTGTTGCCGGCTGCCGATTGCTACTGAACTGAACTCTGCCAGCGAGCGGCGGCCAAAGGTGTCGCAAGTTGTGCCACAGGTAAGCTCCACTCCCTCTCGCTCTCAGTCCCTCTGACTCTCCCTCTCCCTCTCTCACTCTCTCTCTCTCTCTCTCTCTTTCTCTGACACAGGTAGGTAACAATAAATAAAGAGCGCAGGCCAAACAAATGGGCTAAACAAAAGCAACGCTAAGATAGCTTATTTCTCTCACGCGGTGTCGCAGTCTAAGCCCAAACAACTGATATTAGAAGCAACAGTTATGCACAGAAAGAAAAGTAAACATTAGCCTATTACTCTTCAAATATAAATTATTTACAAAAATATATATTAATTATTATAAATATAGAAAAACGAGAAACGTTAAATATAATAAATAATATTAAATATATAGAAGTTAGGTATACATTTGGTGGATAAGTTTGGTGCTCTTATAATTCATGTTAATATTTACTTTTATAATTTTGATAATCCTCATATGTTACCTGACTAAATTTTATATTTTTAAATAAATCATTGATTATCCCAGTGTATCCCTAGGATATATCTCAGTGTATCTGCAGTGGCAATTTCTTGCCATAAATGGTCAATGCCTGTTAAACCTTATCAAATAATAATTATGAGGTAAAAACCAGCAAGTGGCTACTGATAAGCAATTGCTCTAACCAAAAGATATAGAGTATTCGGCCATCAACTCGATGAATCACTATTTCCACTATTTTCACTATTCACGGCACCTATTTATTAGAAATGCACTTATTAATATTTCCTCACGCAGCGAGTTGACCACAGGGGGAAGGCTATGGCCAAACAGTTCGAATAATAAGAGCATTATACCGGATATATCGGACAATGGCAATGCTGCAACAGTTGTTGCATGTCTGCAAATTAATGACCAACAGCCAGAGAGTGAAAGAGAGAGGGGAACTAAATTAAAATCAAAACTGAAACGAAATTAAATGAAATGTGTTCGTTGCAATGGATTTTACCAGTGTGACGTCAGCTAACAAGCAGATGGGGAAATTGCCAGTGCAACTTGGCTTTTTTTCTTCTATTTTTTTCTATGTACTATTTTTGTATACTATTGTAATGGGCAATGACCCGCCGAGCGGTTAACAAGTGACAATGGTCGCCGTGGACAGACACAAAAACAAAACCCACTAATTGCAGGTTAGCTGGAAGCGCGTTCTCTTCTCGCTGTGTTCCCTGATCCAGAATATCCATGGAGATCACGTTCACTGCCACTGGTTAAGGTAATTAAAAAGTTAGCAACGCTTTTCCAATTTTCACTAATTTTTACCAATAAATATTCAAAAGCTACACTCACTTTTTACCTCTATTTATTAAAATTTAGTGGCACAGGCCCGGCTTGGCTTTGATGCTTAACAACAAAAGGGGAATTGTTTACGATTTGTATTTGGGTTTCCTATAATTTTACAACTTTATATAAAATAATAAATAATAACATTCGAGAGATAGTGAGATATTTTTAAACCATGGCATGGTAGTATATTTTCAGTCAGAGACTTAAAACGCAGTGAAGGAGTCATTTCCGACCCTATAAATTATATATATTCGTGATCAGAATCAACAGGCAAATCGATCTAGCTATGACCGGTCCAAATATAAATTTTTAAAATTTTTGCCAATTTTTTAAAATTTGATAAGGGGTTACATCATTAAAATTTACAAAAATTGACAAAAAATTGAATTTTTAATATTGTTTTATTTCGTATACAGATTTGTTAACCTAATAAAAAGCAGCATAGAACAGCTTTCCGAATTGAATTTAATGCCTTTTTGGCATAGTTATGAATTTTGTAAAATTTGATTTGTCCAAAAATTTGTCATATTAAGAATATCAATAAAAAAGCATTCAAAGTATATCGGTTTTTGATTAGAATTTATCTAGAAAATAATTCATTATGTATTACAAAATACTATAATTTTATAAAATAATGAATAATAGAAAACTAGAATAGATACGGAAAGGACACCAAATTTCTAATCAACACAAGAGTATTAATATTTCGACTTCGTAATGTCTGTTCCCATTTATTTTTTTATACCCAAAACAGGGTAATCTCATTTCAGTCAGAAGCTTAAAACACATCGAAGGAGTCATTTCCGACCCTATAAACCATATATATTCTTGATCAGCACAAGAAACTGCGTCGATCTAGATTACTATATGAACTTCCCGACAATAGTTTCCTTTTGTGTTAATTGTGTTTTTAATATAAGAACTAAAAAATAGGATGTTTTTAACCCCATAATTCTTATAAAAAAAAACCTCTCTCTCCCCTTTCTTTTTACCTACAACTAAGTAGACCACATATTATAATACCACCGACCATAACCATAACAACAACAATATCAGACTCGCTACACAGCATTAGTCGTAGTTGTGATCCAATTTAGATAATTTTCCACTGGACATTTCAGCTTAAATGGTGCCGAAGCCGGAAGCTGCTCATATGAGCATATCTCCTCTGCTTACACACGTACATACATATTTATTTATTTATTGTTATCATAATAATTTGTTTACGGACACTGATGATTATTATTGTCATCAGACTTGTATATACATACACATGGATATAGTATATGAAGCTTCCACTAATTCGCAATTCTTTCAAATGAGTAATTCACCGACTTTAGGCTTCTTTTATTTACACTTTTGTCAAGTTTCAGCGGCCTGTTATCACTGAGCGGAACGTTTACCCGTTGGCCTAATCTTATCACTCACTCAAACACACTCAAACACACTGATATATTAACAGGAAACATGTTAAGGGTCTAATTTAATTTTAACCCAAATAGAAGGAGCCTCTATGTCCTAGCCGCAGTATGCGATAAAATAATAAATATAAGTAACCACAGGGTAATTACCCGAGCTAATCGTGGCTCTGCTCTATTGTTCACCTGTTCACCTGGAAATCGCGGGACTAACTTAAAGCGGCAACGATCGTTACCAGAGATGAGGCTCTGGCTAGTTTATTGGCCACTTTTAGCCATTTTCAAAGCGACAACGCATAAATCTTGTATAAATATGATATATTAAATTTTATATTATTAAAATTATTTAATATTTCGAATTTTATTTAATTTTTTTGTATATATATTGATTTATACCATTATTCTTTATTTAATTTAGCTTTTTTGTTAGCACTCATGAAGTCGATGCACTGCTTGATGACAACTGTGCACTAATGAAAGCAGGGCACTTTGTGAAAGTTGACTGTAGGAATAAATACAATTAAGCATATAGCGATAGTGTTGTTTTGAAAAACGTAACCAGTTTTTAATATATTTTAATTTCAATAATCCTTGTCCTTTGTGGTACAAACTGGTTAAATATCATCAATGATTTCAAATCAGTCACAAAAGCTCCCGGCGGTATTATATGTATTTCAAATAGCGATTTCATATTGCCACAACCAAAATATCGATGTTTGACTCCGATAATTACGGTAGGGAAGTGTTTTAAATTCTGTTAATTTACGCTGTTAATGCATTTCACTTCCTACATGTAAACGTGTAAAAATTGTTTATAGAGTTGTAAGAGTAAAATGTTAAATTCGGACACGCTTTGGTATTCAGAGTGGCCAAAACTAAAATATCAAAATAAAACAAAAAATGTATTGAGAGCGGATATGTTATGAATTTTACATTCTCCAAAAATGAGCATACGACCCCAAGTGTCTGTAAACATGTAGAATGGTTTTCTAGACATGTAAGATGTAAAATGTTAAATAACAGCACAGAGTGACCAGCAAAAATATCAACAAAAATGTGGCAACATTACAAAAAAAAAACAAAAAAAACTCGGCGAAGCAAATAATTTTTTTCCACCGCGTTTTCATCACCTGTGCCGTGCGCCGTTTTCGCAGGTGGCAGTAATCAACTCTCAGCACAGCGACTCGGTAAATTCACGTGGAAGCGAAGGCCCCGAAATCGGGACAAGTGCACGTGCCATTGTGAGCCCGCAGCCCCTTTTTCATTGCTCCATGTGTGTGTGATAGGAAGTGCGCGTGTGTGTGTGTGCCACCCCCCTGAATAGGGCGCAGGAATTTTGCGTCAAACTAAAACGTCTTAAGATTACTTTGCATGCTGCGCATTTCGTCCAACACTTGCATTTCCATTTCCTTTGCTCTTGCAGTAACAACAACAAAGGCGAGCTACAAAATCAGACGATGTTTTTCGTCTTTCTCCACTTTTATCGCGAAACAAAAGCAGTGCACTTGTAAATACAGTGAACATCGGTTACAGGGAACGAGGGGGAAGCTGCAATCAGCAAATGCTGTTTTAGTGTTCTTACACGCGTTATTGTTGCGGAATATAAATATTATTTTTAAAAGCCTACAGTAAACGTACTAAAGTTGAACTTTATAGAAAAGCTGAATTCATAAAATAATTATTAACGCGTTTACTCGGTTATTATATTTCAAGTTAACGAGAGAACCTATTTTAAAAACGCTTAAATTTGCAGAAAATGTGCTTATAAAGCCAAAAGATTTAAAAATCAAATAAAAAAATTCTCAGTCGGGAAAAATATTGAACCTATAGTTACTGAACTTGATAAATACGAATAGAAAATTAATTCCATAATTAATATCGATTTTAGCAACGTCGCGTTTCTGCAATCAAAGATCATCAACTTTAATTACTATTTCCAGACTCCAAACTAAGGTAAGTTCAATTTCTCTATATAATGTTAATTTGTTCAGATAATTACTGTTATTATGATATTCAAAACTAGGTACCTAGGTAGCACTTTTTCATTTCTACCAAAGTTATCCTGTTCAACCATGTCTTCCGTCCTGTCCATTGTTATTGCTATAGTGACCGCGCACCTGGGTCACCGACCTGGGCGGGTCCTGTCAGGTAGAGGCGTCCCCATATGATGTCTCCCTTTTGACAATCGATCTGATCCCGCGGCTTTCTTTCGAGGGTCTTTTGCCTAGGACTTGTTATACTTGATTTATGGCCGTTTCCCGTGATTCCCGGCCTCGAAAACTGGTTTTCCGTACATCACTTGCCGCTGTCATTATCATATATAGCCCATGCGACGACGGGCTTAATCATCGTTTCTCGTATGGATTCTTTATCTCTCAAGTTCTCTCTGAGTCACTGCCATTGTTTTGGTCGATGTTCCGTGCCGTGCGGATTTCCCTGCATTTTTTGTTTTTTTTTCTATATTTGCAAGAAATATAAATACAAAAACAAGAAAGAAAATTAGCATTTATAGAATCGACATTTTTATGTGTCAATTATTTATATTTCCTTTATCTTTTTTTTTAATTTTTATTACCATTTTTCATTTGAAATTCCTTTTTGAGAAGTCTATATACACATATGTACATATTCCTCCGCCCCTAATCAAATCACAGTAAAAATGTCGCCTGCTCGCTATGGTTGAAATAATTCGATTTAAAGGTCACCCAAGTGACTTCCCAACTCTTTTTGTTCTCCCAGTTCATCAGCGAAAATTTCCTGGGGCTGCTGGGCCGGAGCAAAAATCAATATGTGCTAATTTAATTTTGTGGCAAACAAATTAAAACCCACAAAACTCACCGCTCCAGCACTGCTGCTCTGATTTATACGTTCAATTATTTATTCAGTTGATTTCGTTTGGTTTCACTAGTGAATATTTGATTAGCATTTAATATTTGATACTGGGCAATTTGATTTGTGGGTAAACACCTTGGCGTTGCAGTTCTGAAAAAGAGGCCACAACTGGGTTATGTTTGCCATGGTGACCATAAAGTCGCTTTAATTTATGATTGCAACCAAAGTAGGTTAGGCTAGGTCCAGATAAGCCGCCTCCTTCTCTACGGACAAAGACCGCATCCAACGATAGCATATTCTAATCTCAAAGGTAGTCCGGATGCCGTCTTTCTTTCCAGTGGAATTTGCTGACCATATTGGAATTTTGATGGAATATAATGGAGTTATTTGGAAATTTTGAACATCTATTAAAAGAGCTATGAAAGGACAAGAATCTTAAGTATTATCAACCTTTATTAAAGTTTACACTTTGTACATTTCTTGATTTCTTCTAATGTATTAAAAGGAGTAGAGTTTTATTACATTGTTATATAAATATTTTTCCAACTTTGAAGTTTATTAAAAGCTCTGTGAAACTATCCATATGCGGCCTTGACATAGTTGGCTCCAACAGCAAGGAAGGGCTTTCACATACCCCAGTTGCATTTATATGTATTGTGTTTATTGAAATTTGATTTGTCAGTTTTGCTATTTGTTTATCGCTGTGCCACTCCTTGAAAATTGGGGCAATTGAGTTGCTGCTGGCTATATATTTTTTAACTGACACATCCATGCAATACTTTTACCTCTCCCCAGCCAGATGCAATTCTTTTTTACTCTTTGTTTGATCTCAGGAAAAGCAACCCACCCACCTCCCATTCCGGCTTTTACTTTTTCCTTTCTTTTCGACGCCTTTTTTCCGTAGCACTCCCGGCTGCTTTCCGTCCGTTCCTTTCCGTTCCCGGGGGTCTGAAAAAAGGAAAGGAAAAAAAAGCGAATCGGGTTAATCGTCGCCACGTTGGCGTCCCAGAGAACAAATGATTCTCTTTCGTTTGCTCCCTCGTTTGTGGGTCAACTGCAATTTCTGCCATTAAAATAATTATTTGATTGCCATTCTGCTTTTAAATGTCGTGAATGATGTAAATGTCCCCCTGAAGGTAGAGCTAAAAAGGTAACTAACTAAAAGCAAACATAAATCAATAGAGTTTAGGTTTATTTTAGTTTTATATTATTACATCATATAGTTTGGTAAATCATTATACATTATATTAGAGCTCAACCCATATTTGTTTTTACAATTCTTTTGCAAGGCACTCCTTATCATTAAATCATCTCTGAATATTTATAGCCTTTCCTTACACATAACAAAAAACTAGATAAGGGTGAAAATCAATAAATGACACAGAAAATCCTACTACGTATTATTATTCAGTTACTATCAAGTTAGGTACTTCAGTTGAATTTACTTAAAACTAAAGAAAGATTTGCATTATGTTAATTTACTTTAATTCCTGTTTAATTAATCTTGTTTTACATTTCCGATCGCCCAATTAATTCTTCTATCTGATAGAGTTTTTCGAGTACTTTTGTACAACATAAGCGATCGATTTTTCTTATCATGCCGAAAATTCTTATCACATTATGCTGGCTGCGCCTGGCTCAGTAACCCACAAAGCTTACCCTTCTCTAGGAGAGTAAACCATCGCCCAGCTGGAGAGACCAATTAAAGCACCTGACCTAGAATATTTGTAGCCTAGTTTTCGACCAGTCGGGAGTGCATATGTTTTACATGGCGACTTCACATCTCCATCCACATCCACATCAACCTCCTCCTCCCGCATCGCAATTGTACTTTGATTCAATCGAGTATGAGCTGCATGTTAAATTGTCTGAATTAATTGCGTAGGCCACGCATGTCACGTGCTCTTCACTGAGAAATACTAGTACATAGTACATTGTATATAGTATATGTAAACCATATAGATACGGTTGTGTTTCACACCACCCACTTTGGGGGCTAATCCTTGAGCTAGAGCCAAACCGGAAACCTAGAATAAATATTCAAAATTTCCTCTTTGATTCCCTTTTGTACTTTGGTGCTTGATTGTACATATTTTGCATATATATTTATATATATTTTTGTAGAGCAGATCACGTACTTATAGCTCCAAGGCCGAGTGCCCAATGTCAAGTTAAATTTAAGTACAATTGACATCGAAAGGGAATTGTTTATAGTTAGGGCTTATTGTTCACTTTTT